CTGTATCCTTAGGCTTTCTGTCTCTTATGCAAGGAGATTAGCAACAAAATCAGCTTTGTGTACACAGTAAATAAATGTCTGATCTGAATGTTATCAACTCTGTACAGTAACTGCTGATGAATGGTCCTAAAAATCAGTGATTTCCAAAGTCTACTAAAAATAGAACATATGCTCATATTTGTGTTAAGGAGGAAAATAAACAGTCAAATTGGATTACAAATTCGTGTCATACTGATCTTCACTATATTTACAATAACCAGAAAGCTGTCCACCAACAAATCAGTTGTAAACATAACGCCACATGTCGCCACTGAGTGTGTGAAAACTGACGGTTAACTAGCAAAGAGAGAAGTTGGGTGTAAGAGAGAATAAGTTAACTGGAAGTAAAGCTAATGCTTAAACATTTGAAAATAGCTTAAAAGTAAGGATATGCTGAAATAGTTAAAGTTAGCTCAAAGTTCAGTAAATAAACATTTGAAATAGTTAGCTAAAAGGAAAGATAAACAGTTGATATTCTAAGTTTGAAGGAATGGTTAGGTAAATTTAATGTATTTAACTGGATAATGAGTTTATCGTCATAACAGAGAACAATTTTGTGGAGAAATAGATATTATTATGGCTTTGTTTCAAATGTTTTTGAAGTAAAAGGAGGATGGAGGATGTTAGTCTTTGTCTCTGTCATACTTTCGCACTGTACCTGTGAAGCCTGAGAGATTTTTCGCATTTTCTCACTCTCCCTCTGTTGAGACATGCTTTCTCCATCCTTGGTCCTGTCAATGCTCCAGCCCATTGCCAGCATACTCTTCAGGGATTCCCTAATTGGCCATCTGTAAATCTCTTTCTCCTAAAGCACAGAGACAGAAAAGGGGGAAAGGGACTAAGCCAAGAAGCCTCACTCTTTTTGTTATCTCTATGATGCTAACCTTCTTCACAAATCTCACATAACATTCTGTACCTTCTCTGTCAGGGCTTTGTAGGTCCTGAGCTGAGGGTGAATCTTGGCCTTCTCATCCACACAGTCTCCATATTTCCATCCCAGCAGCACCTGAGGCATAACCACAGAGGGATGTAAAAGGGTGAAAGCATTTTTCATTGCCTTTAGAGTCCCCTAAAGACATCATTTGTTATGTAAAAGACTGGGTAAGAGATTAAGTACGCATAACACATTAAGGAGTCATGGTACATTCAGTTCTTGCTGTCCTCAGCTCTTGTAAAAAAAAATTGACAGATGCAACAATGCAGGCTAAGCAGCTGGCACAAAAGGGACCTACTACACAGAGACTACTGTGCACAGTTATTGTCAGCATGCCCAGAGTATCCCTTTTAATATAACAAAAAGGAGGCATCACCAAAGGAAACAATGCTGTGATATTGGAAAAAAGAACAATATCAAAATATTGATCTGAACTGATTTTTCTTCACTTTGAAATGGCTGAAATGCTTTCCTGCTGCTTTTGCCTGCAGTATTTCTTCAAGTAGAGACATTTTAAGTGTCCTCACCTTTTCTTATAACACATGTGACTTGTTCCAAATTTAATACTGTGCAATTTAATACCCATTTTCCCAGGTGAAAGCTCTTATCTTTGGCCTTACCTTTTCTGCTGACCATTTCTCATGGGAATGCTCTGCGTATTTGTTGGCAAAGTGCTCAAGCTTCTCTGGAAGAGCAATGCTGGAAAAGAGTTTGACAGTCAGCTTGTGTATTCAAATGCGTGTTACTGAAGTCATGTACTGTCATGTATGTCATTACAAGTATGATATATCAGTCAGGCTGATATTATATTTCTCATTAAGGTCTGGCTTACTTAGCAGTATTGATTGGCTTGGGGTCAAAGTTGCCCTGAGCATCTACAGAAACAGGCTTCTCCACAGTGGTACTAATGGAGGCGTCCACGTAGTCCGGTGGCAAAGCTCCAGCTATGGCACTGAGACAAGTCATGGCCATCTTGAATAGTTCTTGGTCATATTTCTGCATGGTGAGAGAAAGAAAGCTACAGAGTAAATGCAAAACTTGCACAAAACTCGCACAAATTGTATTCTTATCTAACGATCACAAGTAATACATTTTGTTGTTAATTTAAGGCGGGACTTAAATAAAGCTATATAGCCACTCCACGCAGTGTGTATCAGTGCAGGGGCCAGCGGAACAGACATTAATGAAGAATTATTCTAAAAGCTGAAGAACCAGAGTGCTAGAGGCTATGGTTCAATGACGGCTGTCGAGATATTGATGTTTTCAGGCCGGCCCTTTGCACAGCGTCCTTTCATGAGTGTGCATTTAGAGATGTGCTGAGTCCAGCCATCTGCATCACAAACAGACCTCGAGATGTTTGTGCCGATGAGTCTCTCGCATTCATACATGTTAATCAAGACTGTGATGAATTGGGTGACTTTTAACTGTTTATCACTTCTGTAGAGCATTCGTGGTATCAAACTCTCTTGCTAAATGTTTTTTAACAAGAAGCAGACGAACATGTTAATGACTATTGCTCAGGAAACGCAAAGGACGTAGATACAAAAACACAACAACACATGAGCGACCCCTCACCCTCTGGGACAGAGAATCAAATACTCCCCAGAAGATCTTCTTGGTGAGCAGTAGTTCGTCCTCAGATGCTGTGCCATAGCTGCCCCAGCCCGACGGGAGGCAGTAGTACTTCCAGTTCTGCTCATAGTGGTTGGTCAGCAGCTGGAGGACACATATAGGGCACAGGTCAAGATAACCAGAGTAATAAATACACAGAATTCAGCAAGCATGCAGCCTGTACACATACAACACACTGACACTCGGCCATGCATGTATAGCAAATAGCGCCTCAAAGGAAATCGGCTCCCCCACATAGAACAAGTGTGTCCACCATTTCACAGGCCAGTCACAATCTATTACTCTCCAGTATTTCTCTCGTGTGGCCAGACGGATGGAGTGGAGCAGTGGAGCCAACAAGCCTGCAATAACCACAGCTCCAATACCTTTCATTTACCCCTTGTTTTCCCTTCTGTAGCTAACCACTTCTCCCACACCGGATGATATTAACACCCATATGGGTGTGGTAGAAATGTGCACCTTTGTGTGTGTGTGTGTGTGTGTGTGTGTGTGTGTGAGAGAGACTGAGGTGTGTGTGAGACTGAGAGAGAGAGGTGAATACCAGTACATTAAAGGTACACCTACAGAAGAGTTGGTGAAAATAAGCCGTTGGTACCAACCCACAGGGCTGAAGACTGAATAAATTAAGGTAGCGACCACATAGAAAGGTTCGATTATTAAGGGGAAAACAAAACATAATAATAAAAAAGCAAACAGATAGTGAGGCAGGATGAAAACAGCTGAAACTGAGGCACACAAGCAGAGGAACCAGAAAAAAATGTATAAAGGCAAGATACAGGATAGCAAAAGGGATTTAAAAATAGTGAGGAAAGTGAATGAAATTGTTGCCCACCCTTAGAGGCATCTTGCAGTAATCAGTCAGCAAGGGCACATCAAAGACAAGACGGCGCAGGAGCTGCTGCAGCATGGAGGGACGAAGGTGCCTGGAGAATAAGGTGAGACAGAGATAAGAGTGCTGCTGCCCTGAGCTGCCTTTATCCAGAATATCTTCAGACTCATTTTTGTCTCACTGATCTAGAGGGATATTTTGCCAAATCAGGCCCTGAGCTAAAATAGAGCTTTGTTAGAAGGAAGATACGATGTACTGTTGACCGGCTGAGATACCAGAAGTGTTTGGTGTATTATTAATACTCAAACAAAAAAAGCCCACAATCTAGAAAAAACCTTTTACTCTACTAATAGAGAGTTTGGTATGCTCCTCACTTGCAGACAGCCAGCAGGCACTCCTCTATGGCATCTCTCTGGGCCTTGGTGAGCGAACGGCCCTTGGAGAGGCGGTAGATGGTGTGCAGAGTGGAGTCGATGAGGGTGGCGTAGTGCTCGGTGCCGGCAAAGAGAGGGGCACAGCGGGTGAGGAGGGGTAGCAAGGCTGAGCCGATGTAGCGGTTCATTGCGAGGGCTGTCTCTGTGGTACATAGACCCTCCTGTAGAAAGAAAAAGTCACAAACTTTACATATGAATATTTCCTACTTAGCCTACTATTAAGTTAATGTTTTAGCATTTACAATTAACCTGCAATTGTAAATGCTAAAACATTGCTTCAAAATAAAATACAGTATATGTTAGCAAGCTAAAGAGAATAAGGTACTATTACAACCACAAAGAACACTAAAAAGGTTCCCTGATGTCAGACAGTCACACATGCTGCATAGATTATATAAGCAGGAGTATCTGTCAGTGTGAGCTGTTACTGTGTTTTGCCTGACGTCAGAGTTTGTAGCCAGGGGTTGAGTGATATTCTTAGCTCCTGTCACATTAACACTGCTGACTGGGAGCGACTCCTCCAGAGCAAAAAAAAGTCATACGTATTCAAGCCGTTACCAAACAGCTCTCCTAGTGAATTACAGGTTAACTCAAACTAACTACTGCATTGTACACATCTTAAGAACTCCAGCTCACAAAACAGTTGACTTCAATGCAGGCCAAGTGCTCAATATGACTCGTTGTGTGCTGCTGTGCAAAAAAAAAAAAAAAAAATTCAAATAGATCATGTGATGATAGATATATCTTAGCCAAAAGTCTGCATCCGATGGATTTGATAGTTCTGAGCTCAGCAAGCCAGGATTTTGCTCCATCTTCTTAAATCTCCATAAACTTTTCGTTCATAAGTAAAAGTAAAGAACAATTACATTAATCAACCAAAGAGAAACTTGAACCATGGCTTAATGAGGAGATCCTCGTTAATATAAAAGGTGGACCGATATTATTGATCTTGAAATCCTTGATAAAGTTCATGTTGGAGAGGCTGGCCATCCGTTTCTTCTCTCCCACATTATTATGCTAAACCTACCGTATCCAGAGAGGTAGCAGCCCTCAGGTCAGGAAGGAAGCCCACTTCGAGCAGGTGGAGCAGAAAGCTCTGGTCCTCAATGCCATACACCCTGTCCAAAAACAGCACCATGGGGGCTTTGTGATCTGGACAGAAACAGGCTGACATGTCTGGCTCTGTCACCGACCCATCTGAGAGAGATTTAGACAGGAAAAGGAAGGCATTACACATAGAGTAAACCACACAGGTGTGAAGCAGTGAAATACCCAGAGAACAGCCTACAGTACATAATGGCAAGTCTTCTCTGATTAGGGGAGTCATGTGTATTCATTAGTCAGCATGCAGCAGCATGTGAATGAGAGTGTTCTGGTGCTGGAGCTACGGCTCACAGTCCTCACTCTTGGCCTGCTGACAGAGCCTGTGTGGCAGTGCTCTGGGCAGCAAATTTAGGAGGCGAGCCTTGCCATGCTTATGCTGATCAATCAATAGAGCAAGACAGCTCGCTATAGAAATGATCTGGCTTACTCAGAGCTATGGGACTGTGCAGTAAAGCGTTGTGCTGATTAAAAAGGCATGAGCGGTGAAATGAAATCAATAACCTTCCGTCTTGCACTGAATGTGCAGACTTTCATAACCATTGTACTTTCACGTGAGCTTGACATCCTGTAGTAGCATGCACATGAATAGGAAGTGTCCTCTCACGGAAGGGTAAAGCTGTGTTGTACAGTATGCTGCTGTGTGTTATTAGAGTGAACATCCTGACCAGTACCTTTGTTGGTGATGGGCATTTTGAGTGGTATGCTGATAATTCCCACAAGGTCTTCAGTTGGCACCAGAGAGCGCAGGATGGCACGAATGCGAAGAGCTTCACCTTTTCCCTTGTTGATGAGCTGAAGAAGACAAACAGAAGTGAAAAATTGGAAGATCTGTCCGAGACAAACCACAAATAAATTCACAACTTCTATGAAGCATACATGCATCTCTGGGGCACAACGTCCCAGCAGGTCAATGAGCGCAGAGTAGAAGGACATGATGGCATTGCCCATGTGTACAACTTCCTCCTCATCATCACCATCAGCAGACCTAACAGTGGGAAAAGTTGAGTAAACAGAAAAGCAGAGGGACATTTTTTAAAGGGCATCAAAGCAAACGACGCAAAGACGAGTGGGATAAGCAGCTAATCTTAAGGGTAAGTCCTCAGCATTGATTTGATAAGCTTTGCTTGATCTCTATGGCTTACACATCAGAGCTAAATCCGTGCACAGAGCCTGGCAGGTCCAAAGCTGGCGTCTCTGAGATCTTGATGGCTTCCTTCATGGCAGCCAACAGGCCGTTCCCTCCCTCTCCCCTCAGAGCAGGTCCAAAACATTCTGGACGACGGATGAGAAGCTTGACCACAACACTGGAGTTCTCCTCCACACTCTCGCCTGGAACACAGACATAAAATCACACGAGTAAAAATGTGAAAATCATAAGCAAGAAAACACATGCTTTGTAGCTCTAACATAAACACACCACTATCCCTGAGCAACTCCAGGGAGAAGAAGCTGAAACTGATATAAGGGTTTTCCAAACCTTTTCTACATGTTTAGATAGAGATACAGTAAAAGAATAAACCGAAAGAGAGAGCTGGAGACAGAGACAGAAAGAAAGAGAAACCAAAAGAGCTACTGTAACTGCAGTCTTACCGTTGACAAAGACAGCAAACCGCAAGAAGGAAAGGTAACGCTCCCCCTCAATGGGGTTCCAGCCGATGTCTGGATAACCTTTAGCCAGGAGCATTGGACAACTCTGGAGACCACAGCCTGCTAGGTAGGTGACCACCTAAGGGTATATGACATCACATATAGATCAGTGTTCATCCTGCTTTAATCCATTCACCCTAGGTGATTTCAAATCCTATCTCATGTATGTGAAGCTCCCTCAGGTTTGATGCACACTAAGTTAGCATGGAGTCTTACCTTGTCCAGATCAGGTTCTTCCAGTGCCAGAGCCAGGCTGTTGTTGTCCATCACAGAGGAAGCAGCCACATCTAGAGGAGTGGAGCCCCTCATAGCTGGTGATGCTACAATACAAAGCACACCCATAAATTCTGTGTCTGTGATCACATTTTAACAAAGTGTTGTACAAACAGCAGGGGGTGGTGTTTCACTCCTTCCAAAACATCACTGATAGCTGATCTGGTCAACATTAGTGTTAAAGGAAAGTTTCCTCAACCAGCGTTACCTCATATTAGGTTCTATGGGGTTTATGTAACACTTTGCATACAAACATTTTATCTATGATATTGTTTTTACAGCTGTATTTTTTTGTGGAATTTTAATTAAAAAATTAAAGACTTCCTTCTTAAAATTAGATTTTTATTTTGCTTATACTGTCACAAAACTTCATAACTGGGAGCACATGTGTGTGCATCTAGGGTATATGCTCTCTTGCCCCAGCAGGCTACTCGCTGAGACTGTGGCACCGCCATCTTCTAACAGAATGAGAGATGAGCCGATAAATTCTCAGCGTTCAGAGTCACAACCACACACATGTCTTCTGTGGTGCGAAGCTAATATATGTGAGATCAGAGGTGCAGAACAAGTCCTATGATGGCAAAAAGGTGACTGCAGTGTATCACCCATATTAATGAGAATGCTGGCAGTTTTTAGAATTCATTTTTCATCCATCCTAGAGCTGGTTTTACAGGTATGTCTTGCTACATCTTCCTCTAGCGTGTCCTAAAATCTGGACATTTTGGTCATTTGGCTAATCTTAAAGTAGCATGATGGTTAACAGTAAGAGCAGCAGCTAAACAGAGACATGTAGGTGTACCCACCTAACCCCACGCTGCTATTCTCCAGCAGGTAGCTGAGGTGGTCGAACATAGCTTTCTGGTTCTGACGGCTGATCCGGCAGAAGTAGCACAGGAAGCGACAGCAGCTGGCCACCATCTTGGGAAAGGCAATTTCCTGTGGAATGGCACATACAGACTAAGTGGGGTCAAACATCTTCCCTGGTTGAATTTTTAAACAATTGTAGTAAAATCACAACCAAGATGGTTGCTCTTCAAAAAAGAGTTAATCACAAATTACAAAGCACAAGTACGTGAAATATTTCTCAGGCAACAGTCTCATGTATTTATAAACATAAATATAGACTATCTTCGTGTCTAGACATTGCTAACACATTGTCAGCCCCCTCCAAAAGAAGTTTATTGTAATGACTTTCTCCAGGCTTGTTACTATAAAGTCCACCGCATGTCTTCGTTCCTAATTAACGTCAAAAAGGCCTGACACCTTTACACACTGCCAGCCAGCCACGCTCTGCCCTCCCTCCCGATGCTGTCTGCCTGAGGAGAAAGCCCACCTACTGGGACCATGTCTTTATTAATGCACGCTCACCCTGCAACCATGCTTCGCACACACAAATGATCACACGCAAAACTGGACTAAAAACAAACTTTCTCAGTGAGCAACATTATTTCTGGCAAGGGTAGTGCGGCGAACTCTGCGGGCGCCTCTTTAACAGCCTGTGTAAGCAGAGATAAATATACACAAGTAGAATTGTTAAACCTGGGACTTGTCTCCTCCGAGCACATTGACCATGACCTCCATGACAGTCTCATGCATGCCCAGTATTCTCATTAGGTTGGGATGCTGGTAGAACACTTTGTTGTTCATGATGTCCCTGGAGAGGAAACAATACATAATGGATACTTAACACTCACTAAAAACACAGTGCATTGGGCCAAATTGTCATGAAAGTAAGAATAGCAAGACCAGAAACATGATGATTTGTATACAAGATAAGAAGATGAGCTCCCCTGAGGCAACCACAACCTACCCAAGCCCATCAATCATTAGCTTCTCCTCCTCTTTCCCCATGCGAACAGACAGCAGAGATCTGATCTGACCAAGAGAGGCCAGGAGGCTGATAGTGTCCTGGACCGAGGCGGCACTGATGGTGTACGTCTTTCTCATGGCCCGAAGCAGTTCCCCAATGCTGTCATACTGTCTCCTCAGTAGGCTGAACATCTTGCGGACCAGCTCTGGGTCCTGGATGTGACACTCCTGGGCCCAGCTGACCATCGTCTGAGAGATCAGCTCCTTCAGGTTGGCTGGAAAGAAAGTTGAGTAAAGATTAGTCTGTTTTTCCATGAAAGTTGGAATGATTTGCTAAAAACAAACAGAGCAGAGGTTGAGTACTGGTCCAAAAGTCAGAAAATGCTAGCTCTTACACTTCCAATGCAACTGTCAACTGTGACAAGGGACCAGTCACTCCACATGTCATACTCTTCTCAGAGATGAATGAAAATTAAATAATTTACCATAGTTTAAGCTGTAATATTTGTCTTGGTGGAAGCAAAATGAGCTGTAAACACAGTAGTGACATACAGTATGTGTTAACATTTTAAACAGTACAGTGGGTTTATCAGAACTTTTTTTTTTTACCGAAAACACCTCCCTTCTGCTGCTGAAATCCATGAGAGCAAATCAGTGAAAATTTGGGAAATAAAAACAAGGAGCTGAAAGATGCTAAAATGCTGAGTAGAGCTGAGGGGAACTGCAGAGTTCCCCTCACTGTGCACAGTTATTGTCTTCCAATTGTCTCTGGGTCTATATATACACAAATGAGCTCTTTCATATTACACACATTAATTTGACCAGTTGATAAAAGTAAAAATATTGATTAGTGCAGATTTAATGTTGCTAAATAGTCCCATCCCCCAACAGTAAGCTGCTTTTAGAGATCGAAACTACATTATTACCTTGAACTTAGAATGAAGATTATTATAAGAAAATAGAACTGTGTGTGATTACAGAATTATTAATTATGAAGGGCAGTGTTGGTTAAAACAACATATTTTCAGCAGATTTACCTTTAAAATAGTAGAGAAAGACAGGCAGTGAAGTGCTTGCTCTTCTTGTAACGCACACAATAAACACACACACCTAACATAAAGCTCTATTAGACTGATGCTAAAAGGGCCTCCACTTGACTGGGTGCTCCCATTTTTACACAAGCACTAAAAAAGAGACACAGTTCAAAGGCTGCATTACCAAACTGGTTCAGTAATGCAAATAAGACCTTGAGCTCGGAACAAAAAAACACAGACAGCTTTTCAAAGTCTTTCGCGTGGCTTGAGTCAAGCTAATACAACTGCACGCGTGTATCAGCCACCTCTACAAGCCCCAGCTTCTAAAGGAGAGGTAATCAGCTGTGTTTCAACAACGTCAGAGTTATTTTCCTCCATTCTATGGGAAAGAAAACAGTTTGCAAGCTCATTCATGAAAAGGCACATATTCGGCAGAGCGGAAAGGAAGCCCTGTTATGTAATAAGGGAGGAGAAGTGGAAAAGGTATAAATAGTTCTGTACAGTACAATATTTTATTTCAAAGGTTAAAGGGAGACATTTGACAGCTCGTATGTGGGGTACCCTTAAGGCTTCATTAAAACTGGATCAATAGTGTGTGTGGGTGAGGATATGCACATATATTTGCGGTAAGAATGGTAAGAACACACAAAGGAGAGAGCGCCATCAATTAAACAACTCAGAAGCATGAAAGATGGAGCCACTTATAAGCAACTGATTTCGTTAAAAGTACTGCAATTAGGTGATTGTGTTTTTAAGACCCCCATGTCTGTACGGTTGATTGGATCTGTTGGTTTTCCAAAGACTATTTGACACCAGGCTGTCAATCAATGTAAGGGTGTGTGTGTGTGTGTGTTTTTGTGATGGGTGGGGAGCCAGCAGAATGTCACAGTCAGCGGTAACCGATCCTGCCGCCGAGAGTTGTGTGGGTGTCAGAGAAAGGGCAGAAGCACCAGCTTGCTCCAAAATGAGAAGCGACATTTCTTCCTCTCAGCCAAGATGCTTCACAACACCTGACTCTCATTCTGTCACACTATCAAACACACTTGTTCGTTCCCTGTCTGTCTGTTTCGCTCTTGAACAGTCCTCCCCAATTCCTTCCCCTCACTACACCCCAACAAACAAATCTGACCGGTCTAGTATTACATTGATGGAAGCCAGCAGTTTCTATGGCATGTGAGATCACACACAAACCCCTGTGCTCTCACACAAACACATTTCTTCCAGGCGAGTCATCACGTCTGAGCATTAAATTCTTCTGGTGGATAAACCATTCATCAAAGCGGGAAAACGACTTCTGCGCTCCTTTTACTTCAGTCCTGTGAAATAATGGCAAAGACGACGGCGCCTTTTGTATCTTCAGGGTCTCACTAAGCAGTATGATCTGATGGGAGGAGAAGTTATAGCTGGAGTAACAGTACAGAATAGATCATGTCATCTTCACTCTGCCCATCCTCCTGCCTCCTGGCAAACCATCTTCTTATATAAGATTTATTTTTGGTTTTCAAAGTATATACCAACTGTCACATACACTTCTCCAGAGAGTGCTAAACCTACAATAAATACACATTCCAAACTGTATACATATACAAAGGCCTATATCAACTTGAATAAAAATGCACAAACAAGCTGGCATGGCTGTAGGGATGGCCATGCCAGACTGAAATATCTCAACAACTATCAGATTGACATTTTGTGCAGACATTCATGGTCCCCAAAGGATGAATCCTAATTTGGACTTTGATGATCCCCTGACTTTTCCTGTAGCCACCACCAGAAGGGCGACATTTGTAGTGTCCCAACAATTGTCGGATGGATCACCGTAACATTTGATACAGACATTCATGTTGCCCAGAGGATGGACCATTATAAAACAGACCATCCTCTGTAAATGCTTAACTCTTCCTCTAGAAACAACATCCGGCCAAATACCTGAAAAACTAATGACACTTTGTCTTTAGTGCTAATTGGCATATGTTATATATGTTAACATCCTTACATGGTAAACAAAGATGGTGCAGATATGACCTGCCAAACATCAGCAAGTTACATGTTAACATTAGCGTTTAGCTCTAAGTGGAGCCTCACAAAGCAGGTGGTTTGTCTGTAGAAGATGAATCATATAGAAAGGCAATGCATCTTAATCTACGATGCAAAAGCCACTGACTCACCACTAAGAGAAGACAAACAAATATGGCTTCCTATTCAAGCTTTAACACGTAGTACCAACGCAAAGTATATACTGTATAATCACAAAATGATTCAAAGAAACACTCTAAGCAGATAAGAGAATTTGCCTGCAAAGATTTTATATTATTTCACTCCCCTCCCTCGCTTTCTGACGCCTTCAGCTGTTACAGAAGTAGATGTGATGCTCCTGAACAGCAGCTGCCACCACAAACCAGCCTTCTAATCAATCATTCCTTACACAACACCCTGCAGAGACCACCACCAACACCACCACCCAAAACACTCTTTTAAGGGGAAAATACACACTCCTCTATTTTCATCCAGCCTTGCTCCTTGGAGATCAGTGAAGTGGTCTTATATGCTCCACTTCAGGGTCACACGAAATCCCAGTGGAGAGATTGCCTTTCAGCATCTGCAGTCAGCAACACATATTTCAGCCCAAATTTATCCATGTGCAATTTGGCCACTTCTTGTTGCCAGCATTGCTTTCAAGAATAGATGGGCATGGTATGGCGATGGACAGATTCTCAGAGGGGTTTTCAGAAGTAATGAAATACCCTGTTTCATATAAGTTAGTCTCCGTCTAGGCAATTAAAGGCAGACACACGTGTCTTGTTTTATTTCTAGAACAGTGTCATTCTCAAGAAAAGGAGAGAAAAACTGCTGCCATAAATGGACACATAGGCTAATAAATAAAGCTCTAAATATTCAACAGTGAGCAGCAGTTAAATAACACACTGCTTCCCATATTGCAGGCCAACAGAACAAGATAGAATGTATTTTCTACCAGTTAAGTAATAATTTGCAATCAGGGACTTGATTGGTGGTCCCTTACACTTGAGATAGAAAATTAGATACAACTTGTCCTGAATTTATATTGTTGTGGCACCCCAGTTATTGAGTGCTGTGATTGAAATGGTTTTTGTTCCTATGTGTGTGCTCATGATTGTGACTCGTGCATGTACGTATGTGTCTATGGGTTTAATCAGGTAAAGGATTTGGTTTTATCACAGATGTGTTTTCTCTCATTTCGCCTCTCTCGTCTTTCCTGAGTGGCTGACGGAAGACGCTCTTCACTCTGGAGCCTCTCCTCCACCCTACTCCGTATTACCATAATGAAATTGAAAAGAAATTGAAATGGAAATGACTGCCACCCGGTGAGTCAGTACACATGACACCGGCAGTCAAAGCTGAGGGTGCTAGAGCTGGAGCTCCAGCTTTTAGTTCTCCCCTCCCTGTAAGCCAGGAGTGAAGACAGAGAGCTTGTACAAAAAGAGGTGAAAGAGACCATAAACAAGCACAATGTAGAGGGGGAATAAATGGATAACGTGTGTGAGAGCTTCTGCTTTTAAGGGAGAGTAACAAATGTTTTAGAGGCAGTATAGAAACAGAATACAACAACTTCAACTTGCTCGAGGACACTATTTTCCTGGCAGTTTTTGGACATTTTGCCATTCCCAGAGCTTTAACTGTCTACTGATCTAGCTACTGTTTTAGTATGTTGCTATGGTTACAAGGACATCATTGGATTACTGCTTTCTAGAACATGAATTTTGATCTGAAATTAAATGTAAGCCAGTCAATTAAAAAAAGAAGGTTATCTCCCAGATTGTATTACGGATACAGCAGGTGCATTACAGCAGGGCTAATATTATTAAGTAACACTTATAAAAACAGTGACTTCCTCACATGGTGCTGCTTGCTCCTTCTCTGTGGGCTCCTCTGCTTTGTGAGACTGGCCTTTGATCTTGTTCACCAGCATTAGGAGGCGACCTTTGATAGATGTATCCAGCTCATCTTCATCTTCCTCCATAGGGATTCCTGCACGACACAAACAGAAAGACATACTATATACATGGACAGCAAAGCATATTAAAGCAATATCTCCGGCAAGCGTGGCTTCCTGCGGGGTTTGAAGACATGTCAAGTATATAAGGTGTAGCATGGGATTTACAGCATCTCCTATTACTTTACAATTTCAAGTAGTTTTTTTTTTGTTGTTGTCTGTGCGGAGGGTGCAATGACAGATCGGCGCTATGTGGAACGGCGGAGACTGCCATTAGATCGGTTGTACCACAGAGGGATGGGCAATTCAATTATTTATCAAAACATCAAGATGTCAGAGCAACTGAAACTTCTCTGCCGAGAGACAGAGAGAAATGAGGAGTGGAGAAAAGAAAGTATTTTCTGAGAGGAAGCACTAGTACAATTCAGCAGATTTTGACACAATTACAGCTTTTTTCGATCCATGCAGCCTTTGTAAAATATATGTATGGAATTCTACAATCAGTTGAAGCAACGTAAGATAATTGTATCAAGCTAAATACAATAATGCATGTTTAATTAAAAAAACACTAAAGCAGCATATAAAGGTTTTGCAAGATCTGTAATCTTACCACAGTGCAGCTGCAGCTGGTTGTGAAAATCATACAGCTCCTCCTGGATGCCTGTTGGACACGGACAGTCCTCGCCCATACTGAAGGTAAGCAGCATGTTGATCTAAAATATGGAAACATGTGAGGAGAAACACGCAACAACAATGTCTGGAAACTCTTCCCCTTCTTCAGTTTCAAAGGCAATCCGAACATGATGTGAGCTCTGTGATTTGTAGGAGAAAAAAACTGCTTAAGTGGCTAATTCTCCCTCAGCACTCACAGACCGAATGACACCATGACAAGTCATTAAAGTAGCTGTGAAGCGCTGAACTCCAGCTGCGACCCTGAAGGAATACTGTATGTGTGCGTGTGTGTGTGTGTGTGTTGGCGCAGTTGAGCATGCACTCTCACTGGAGCAATGACACCGCAGACAAGAGGAAAAATTTCGCCTTGAGGCTTTGTTCAGTACACACACACACACACAAAGAGACTGCTCTCTGAAACATTTGGAGCAAGGACCAGCTCTCGTTCCCTCTGAGACATGGAACCAAGAGGAGCAAATCTGACGAAACAAAACACTAAAAAGGGAATCTGAGGGTGGGGAGAGAAATTAGTCATGTATGTAGGGAATGACATGCATCATTTGAAGCAGTGAGCCTACAGGCTTTCTTTGTGGTCAGTTATTATAGATTGTAAGATTCATCAGTTCTAACTGATGCACAGCTCCTGGCCTTTCATACCCTCTGCGGCTGATTTGCAGCTTCATGCATCAAAAAGGTCACATAGTAGACGTGAGAGTGTGCAAATTGGTGTGAAAACTGTCACTTCTGCAGAGAAAATGTTTAAACCGCACGCCTCCATTGGCGCCCCTACCACCACCTATGTCATATGTCACATACAGTAGGCTATGATATTTATATGATGTGCTATCAATATAACGTGAAATAAAACAGGCCTTTTTAAAAAAGAATCAGCTGTTTTATGTTTCTGTGCAGATTTGCAGGAAATTAATGAACTTAAAATAAACAGTGAATAAAAATTAAAAGCCCTGAACACCCATGGAATTCAGGAGTGTGTGGGAGTATGTTCCTGACTCTGTAGGCAGGAGGTGCACCTGCCAAGGTGGGAAAAATTACACTTTTATCTATATTATTGGTGCATGGAGTCCAATCTATGCACCTTTAACTTGAGCAGCGGTCTAGGCAGCCAGAATAAGGGAATACACCTGTGGAGGAGTGCAGGGACTTTAAATATGCTAAAAGGATTTATTTAACTCTTTTTAAAAATTAAAGTAACATTGGCATAAACCTTAAGTATCCCACACAATTCAAATCATGCATTTCTTTGCTTTTCATTACTAATATGGAGATTTGAGTGTTTATTGCATATTTTTTCCATTTTGATTGTATATTGTATATTATAATACATAAAAATGTAGTTATGTAATGTGTATGTGGTAAATGTAAAAATTTGAAAAAAGTACAATGAATGTTGTGGCACGCACTGGCTTAGATACTGGGAATTAGGGTATGACGTGAACTGAAACCTGCCCTGAGCTACACCAGTGTTTCACGGCCCCATCTCACCTGTTCTTGAGGGGGCGATCGGAACTCTTTGGTCTTCTTTGCAGTGACGGCGGCAGACATGTTGAGGGCCAGCATCAGCTCATTGTAGCGGAACTTCTGGTTGAACTGCAGCTTGGAGACGAAGCTGTCAGAGAAGGACACGATGGCCTCGATGCGGTGCTTCAGCTCACAGTCGCAGAAATAGTGAAGCAGCTCACACATCTGGGGAACAGACAAGGGGGGAGGAGACCAACAAATACTGTTGCATCACTGGTGCACGCTTAGACACAGCTGTTACCAGCAAGTCTGTTAGGAATACATACAAACCGCCTTATGGCTTCACATTATCCCACTTATTAAAGAGACATTTTTACCCAAGAGATCATTTGTTCAATACAAGACAGAGCCATTTTATGTTTGACTGACTTCTGAATGGGTCTTTAACAGTGGAGCAGTTATGGAGCATGTGATTGAAAGCACAGCTGTGTTAGTCTTAAGGAGAGATTTGGCACTTGTAGATGAAAATGTTCATTGATTTGACATGTTTTGGTGATTTACCTTGAGTGGTTTACACACATATAAGATGATGCCACAGCTGTTCATACATGCTCATTATTACCTGTAATTTGACAGGCTCAGGCAGCCTCTTCTCTAGCAGTCCTTTCAACGGCTGTTTAGCCTCTTTGGCAGCCTCCTCCTCTCCAGCTTCCACTGCCTTCTCCTCTGTCCCTGTAAGTCCCTCTTTGTCTGTGGCCCCTGTGACTCCCTCCTCACGCGTCTCTCTGAAAACATTTGGGTCGATGAGCAGTAAGATCTGATGAACGTTGTCGCTACTCAGCACGCCCATAGTCAGCAAGGTGCTAATGAGTTTCAAGATTGGCACAAACTGGTACTCCACACCTCCTCCAACAGGATCTCGGATGTGGTGCCCGCCGCCCTGAACGGCCTCTGTTAACATTGAAATGGATTTCTCCTTCAACACATCCAGTGGGATTTGGGGACTATAGAGATGTTGCTCTCGTTTGGTGCTGATGAAACAGGGCGGAGCAAAGTTCAGGCGGGGTTTGAGCGAGGTACTAAGCCCCACCCCTGGCGGGAGGTGCTTTTTGGAAGCGTCAGAGAAGAGGCGAATGGAACGTGTCTCGGCCGTGACGGGGATGATAAACTCGTCTTTCATCATGAGTCGCGACTCTTTCGCTGTCTCCAGGTGGGTGCTTATCAGGACGTTGTAAAAGCCCTCGCGTAACATGCCTGACAGGTACTGATTGTCGATGGTGTATAAGAGCTGTGATTGGTCCACGTGGCTGCAGAGGGCATGGGACACACGGGTGTTGCCCAGAGCACAGAGGGCACAGTAGAGCTTCAGGGTGTGGTAGTGGAACCTCCTCATGTCCTCCTGCTCAGACAGCTCCATGATGTCGACACACCTTTGAAAAGAAGTGAGCCAGGATTAGCCATACAAACGCATGCACGTGACATGATACAATGTCCGTGCCAGTGGTTTCACACTATTCCGCTGAACTACAGATGGCGGTAAAGAACCAAGATATGCAGCAATGCGCCAACAGAGGCAGTGAAGAAGAAGACAGCTAGCATGTAAACAAGGAAGTAAACTATGTGTGATTTAAAATACTTTATGAGGAAGGAAATCAGTGCACTTTTTAGAGCTTAAGGATATACACAATGAGATTTGGTGAGTAAAACTGAATGTTTACGAGAAAACTCCATAGGGCACCTTTAAGTTTAGATAATCACAGAAAACTACATTGTGAAGTATATAAAGTCAATTTTGAAAACTAAAAGGTTTTCAATTTATATGAAAGCGGCAAATCCTAATATTTGAGAATCTTGAAAAAGTGAATATTAGGCATGTCAGAATTGTTGATTAACTTTCTGTGGATCAAATAACTGACTTATTGTTTAGTGCAATATGAGCTAATACACAAAGGAATAACTTAACATTTTGGGAAATATGCGTATTTACTTTCTTGCTGAGGGTTAGGTGAGAGGATCAACACCACTCTCATCAATGTTCACTAAATATAAAGCTGGAGCAAGGAGGCAATTAACCAAGCTTAGCATGTACTGGAAGCAGAGTGAAACAGCAAGCCTGACTCTCTTCAAACATCAAAAAATAGAGCAACAATTAACTCTGCATCTTGTTCACAAGACAAGTTATAGTTCTTACAAGGAGTTGTTTCCCCTTGATCCCACTCTTTATGCTAAACTAAGCTAATCACATCCTAGCTGTAGCTTGATATTTAGTGAGAGTGGTATCAATTCTCATATAACTCTCATCGAGAAAGCTAATATGCATATAACTACGCCCCACAGAATAGACACATAGGCAAAGTAAGCCATGTACTGCACCTGTTCTCCTCAGGTATATGCACAGCCAACATCTGCAGGGGCTCCACACACTGGACCACCCAGCCGTGTCTCTCATTGACCCTGGCTGTTTCCACCTTGAGGAAGGTGTTGGGCATGCGGCTCCACAGCACGGCATTGATGGTTTGGACATCTAGACGGGGTGGACACTGGGGCACCGGGTTCTTGTGTTCACTCTTGAATATGGCTGACGAAAGAGGCATGGCATTCTGAAGAGGGCAGACAGACATCTTACACTGTTACCGATTTTCAAAGCACTCTTACTTTTTGCTACAGATTAAAAAAGACACACTACTACCTGCTCTGGGACCAAAAGTCGTTTTGAACTGCACGAAGAAATGATGCTGTCATTTTAATAAAGAAGAAGACAGCCACAATCTGCCTGTCAGTAATTTCTTATTTTTACTGTGTCGGTGTTACCTTTCTTGCTTAGTCACACAATATTTTTCTCCTCCAAACAACTGACACAAGTACCCGTCTTGTTGGTGAAGCTCTCAGTATCTTTGGTGCAGACATTAGCATGAGAAAATATTAGTCTAGTTGACCTAGCTGGAGGGGTGTATAGCTGCATAATCCTGTGTGAGGGTTGCATCTCTGAGCAAAGTGTGAGGCAGAATAAGGGTAAAATGAAAACATATCACAAAGCATAATGTGAGCAGTACATATTGCATTTCCTTGACCAATAGTGTGTGCTTTTGTAGGATTTGGGCTTCTTTCTTGTGCATTGTCATGGTATTACAGACATCATACATGCAACAAGGTTGTTGTAATGGAACAATCAGGGGAAACTACCTTTATTTTAGTCAGTTCGAACTGGAAGAGGTTGGGGCTTGTGGGTCGCACAAACACGGCAGGGAAAAGCTTGGTGTTTGGTTCTACCTGGAGCAGAGAGAAGAGCAGCAAGTTACAAACAGGAAGTACACATCAAAAGCTTGAGGAGCAAGAAGAGAGCATGACTTGCGGAAAGCAGCTTAATGATGCATCATGAAACTCCACTACTTAGTGGTGCACATGTGTGTGTATGCTTGATCATTCGAGAGTGTCGGCTGGAGGGATGACTCAGTGCCCGGGTGAAGCCTCAGAGAGTTTCAGTGAGGGAGAACATAAGAAGATTATACCCTTTGAAAGGTTCTTTAAGATTTAGTTCTCAGAGTACATCTGAACAGGCAAAGTCCAACGTCACTGCTCTGTTAGGAGAATATGCAAAGACCAAAGACAAGTTACTCTCAAGGTCAAATGGATAAACTGCAGACTGATGGGAAGAACAGTGGATGGACAGTTAGACAGGTAATGACCTACTGTACAGGTGGATGGATGCATTCATGAATAAATGGCAGAAGGTATAAAAAATGGTGAACAGGCAAAATCACAAGCAGATTTCAAAGTAACCTTGCATACTCTGCAAGTCCGAACAAAGTTAAATAAGATTTAACAGAACAAGGTTATTCACAAAATTATACACTGTATCTACTTTATAAAATACAATATAAAACACAATTGGACTTCATGTCTATTTTTAATGTGGAAAACAGTCTGACTGCCTGGTTTATTCCTTTAGGTTGTATAACCTGTGTATTGAGTACCTGGTAGGATGTGGTTATCTCCTTGCCATTGACGGTGAATGTCACCAGGCCGGTGGCCAGGTCTATCATACAGCCGATCTCCAAGTCCACGTTGCTGCGACTCGAGGTGTGAGCCGCGTTGGTCACATCACCACCCCACACCATGTAGCAGTTACTCCTTTTCACACTATCAGAGAGCAAATACCAGTTATTCCTCTTGTCTTGACTTACATTTTGGTTGGAAAAAAGTGCCCCTATTTATAAGTTGTATAGAAACATTCAATAAATGGTTTATGACACACTATAATGTAGTTGTAAGCAGATATGAAGACATCTTTGTTGATGAATGGACATATTTTACACATATTATTACAACTGTGTTATACAATATTCATATCATTATTTCTGTATACACCAGTCTCCACTCTCCCAGTAGGAGAAGTTATAGCTGTTGAAAAATACATGAATAATCACAAGAACACAAGAAGGCAGTTAGGTTTCCCTAAAAATAGTCTCACCTCTCATGAACTCGTCCTCGCTCGTCACCCAGGGTTACGGTGACTGTTCGGTTTTTACTGAGGTTGAAGTTGTTGCTATAGTAATGGTAGTCGGGAGTAACCCATCCAACCCACGCGCCGGCAGGGTCCTGACCAGAGAAAACCCTTACAGAGTGGTAGTACTGTAATGACACATGGTAGAGTTAGTGCAGGTGTTGCAACATAATGGTTCTCTATCAAAAAAAAAAGGTTATTCAATACCGTAGTGATGCTTCCGTAGTCCACTCGTCTACTTTCATCACTGTGCCTCACAGATCTCAATGGATATCTATCAGAAACCACATTCAACAGGTGATCATGTAGTACAAACCAGTTGATGGATAGTTCTGATCTCATTATTAGATGTCTGGTGAGCCGAACATGTTTAACTGCATCACCATTACTTCATATATTTGCATACTAACTGAACTTGAAGAGGGCACTCGGTGTCATGATTCTCAATAATCTAAAATTAGGTATAATGCTGTGGAAGGAGCTGCTTGCAGTATGGTGTAAATTCATGATTCTGAGGAGGTGAGTACCTATGTTTGACTTTAAGTGTGTCTTCCTCGTGGACTCCGTTCATGTCTACCACAGGACTGGATTTGAAGATGGAGTGGAACTCTACAGGCATGCTGAGACGACAAAACACCATGTCAGCGTTACTGTTCTGGGTGCCGAACGTCTTGTGAGTGACTTTAAGACATGGGGGGCTGTCGATGGTGCCGTCGATCCTGGTTACCTGCAGATTGGAAGAAATTCTTTTCAGCCGTCCAATGACCAATTTGGGATTTTTTTACCAACAAGTATCTGCTTTTGTTCTTACTGCGATGTGGTTGTGGTCCTTTGGCACGTTGACAAAAGTAGGCAGACGTTTGCTGAACCACATGGTGACCTCTCGGTTCATGTTGACAGCATAGGGTTCAAATCCTTCCTGAAGGCCGCACATGGTGTAGTATTTGAAGGTGCTAGCGTCTTTCCCCAGATTCATGCGACCCACCTGGGCCAGACCAAGACTACACACTGGAATAAACCCTGAAGGACAGCCGGAGGAAGTGGAGGAGGCAGAGGGAAGAGAAGCAGAGGGAGGAGAGAATAAAAAAGCCTCTAAGAACACACACAGCAGGAGGGGAGGGAAAATCAATCCAGCTTTTTCAAAAAGCCAATTTACAAGTGTCACATTAAATAACAGTGATTTCGTTACAGGGAGCCACTTATTTGTCACTAAATCCCTAGCATGGTCATTCTAGTTAATGCTCTTTGCTCTGCATGTGAAAGCTTTATTAAAAAAATTACCTGCAACTCTTTTCGACAATCACCTTATCAGTCTGACACTCCCTCACTGTAAGCTTCTACAACCGGCTCTGTTACCACACACATCTTATCCGCATTTACATTTACATCCTTAATTTCCCTCTGGATCAATGAAGTTATCCATCTATCTATCTGTCTATGCACACACTCTCTCACCATCCTCAGTTTCAAAGTCAGTGAAGCACAGTTCTGAGCCCTTGGTGGTGATGAGGATCTCTCCATTGAGGGTGAAGATCATGGACTTGTCCTCCATGTTGATCATACATCCCACCACGTCCCCAGAGTGCCAGCACCGCCCGAACAAACGGCTGCCCATGTTCAGACAATGACCCTAAATACAGTACATGCACAAGAGTAAAATTAAACAGTTTCTTATTATTTAAATTAAGGAAATGGGCAAGTCAGTACAATAGTATAAAGAAAATTACACTTACACTACAACAATATTACAACCCCAATCCTCCTGACTTAAATTTGGAGTAGTCAATATCAACTGCACCACACAATGTGAATGCATACTTTGATTTAAATTTAATTGACAGCTCACCCTGTATCCATCAAAGACGAAAGCAAACTCATCCGTGCCAAGCTCCACATCTGGCTTGCATCCCGGTCTGGCCCAGCCCACTCTCATGTCTCCTCCTGTCACAGCTTCAAATTCAAAGTACCACTTTCCAGTCTTTACGGCGTACGTCCTCTCTACTCTGAAGAAGCGGACCTTGTCAATGCTTATCCGCTCCACCATTTGTCCTGCTGGGTTGAAGGGACAGCCACAGTGTCAGCTCGAAAAATCATCAGAATCCCCTCCAACAAAAAAAGACAATCAATAAAGGAACCATTAATTGCAAAAACAGTCTCTTGGTGTGGTTAAAGCAATAATTTCACAGCCTAATTCTTTTTCACTGTAGACTGAAAGAGGGTGGGAGGCCGAATCCTTTATCTGGACTGGGGAATTAAGTCACACTTGTCAGGACATTACACTGTAACACGCATTTTATCATGTGCTGTATAATTTAAAAGCCTGTGCATTTTCATAGGCATATGTCCGTGAGTCAAACTCACCGCCTTCCTGGTCCGAGGGCTCGATGTTGTATCCGTAGCCAATCAGAGTGCGGATAGCCTCCCGCAGGCTGTCCCTGTTCGACTTCTTGGTGCGCTCATCCAGCAGAACATAGGGAACCAGGCGAGGGTTACGCTTACTCTTCAAATCCTGCAAGGAGGAGAGGCACTCAGAGAAAATTGTATGTATTGTATTGTCTTATCAACTGTAGCCTAGCCTGGGAGACAACTGATGTTTTTGTTACAATTGTGCTGTCAATCCGTGTAATTGAGAAGTTAATCAGCCACTTCTATTGAGCTACTGCTGCCCATCACTTCCTCTATCTTCCCTGCGTCATTTCCCATAGCAGTATTCCCATTGGGGCACAGCCATGGAAGAATCATATTAGTATCACTTAAGGAGATTTGTGGAGCTTAATTTGAAATCTTGTGGTGGTTATGAAGATCACAGGCTTGTTTGTTTGGCCTGGCATAAGCCCCTAATATTGCTAAAGGGCTTAAATGAAAACCTTGTGGCATTTTTCCAACGTCAGTTACCCAGTCTCATGTCTTCAGCTACAAATCTTGAAAACTGTACAGAGAGCAAACATCTGCTTTCCAGTTTTTTACAGAGGTGATTACAGGTAATACAGATAAGTTTAGTTAGTCAAATATACTAACAGATGTGTGTACAATGCCTTGAAAAATATTTTGGATAGAAGAGTGTGTAATTGTACACGTTGGTATAACCGCAGCTGCTCACACTGGTTAAAGTGTCTTTTAAATTGTATATTCGCTGCTTCATCTGAATCAATAGGTGATTTCAGAACTCTTTTCTTTGACTTGTGTTCAGGGACCCGCATTTATTCAGAAAGCCTCTTTTTTCACATTATTAGTAAAACGGGTCAAAATGAATGAGCCTTGACTCGCTTAGAGTAGAAATATTCTGCAAAATGCATCAAATAATTTCTCAATATTTGTTGTAAATGAATGCTTTTAAGTGAAAAGCAAACCAAACTAATGGGCAAGATGTGTTTTTTTTTGTTTTTTTTACTGAAACCAACCACCCTATTACCACAGAAACAGTGTCATTAAAAGCTTGTCAGGTTTTCACAAGATACATAGCTTTCACAGATAACCCATTCTACATCACATCATGGGGAAAAATAGTAGTGAAGAAGTGATTTCAGGAAAATGTGTTCTATCCAATTTCATTGTGGCAACAACACCAAAAATACACCAAAATAACGGCTGATTAAAAACAAGCTAGCAATCAGTGTATTCAGTTTATCGCTTGTTAGTTTTCAACAGATGAGAACAAACATTCTGTATCGTGTGTTCTGCACAATATGCTCTGTGTCTTGTTGCCCTTTACTGCAAAACATCTTGGTGCATACTGAATAATGACATATAGCTCGGAAATGTCAGGCCAAACAACCCGTCTGAAACGTACACTAGTAAGGTATAGACTGTATGGTAGGTGAATTAATGAACCATGAAGGAGAAACAGCACATACAAAATACAGAAAGAAAGCTGGTAACAGACGGAAGAAAATATATATTGGTCCCATCATACTATAAATGAATACATCCAGTGTACCTGCTGAATCCCATAGGTCCATCCCTGTTTGATGCGGTCCTTGGCCCACACATTGTGTGCATTTTCTGCCAGTTTGTCCACCAGCAGCTCCTGACCTGGAGTCAGTTTGATGTCGGACAGGTCAAGAGGAGATGGCTTATAACCATTGGACATCATATAGCTACAGGAAAAAAGATAAAGACAAAACAACAAATTTTCCCTCAGTTATGAAAGTCATAAAGGCTAAATCCACCAGGACTAGTTAACCCACATTTATAGCTTGATATAAATCTTTATGGCAATACCTACAGTTACACTAAATATTTCTTTTTTTTTTTCTCCTTTCTTTTTTCTGAGGATCATAGACTGGGTTTACACGCTTTTGATTTATAATTTAATTTGCTCTCACAGTAGAAAAGCCATAGGCCTTATATGTTTCAATTGATGGCCTTTTTCTCAGCTAATGTTATTAATCACCGACACAATCAGTAACTACAGACAGCTTTCTTACAAACAGTTGGAACTGAGCTGCATCTCAATAAGAAATGTGTGTTCTGATGAGATTTAGACAGTACATGTACGCATGCACACTTACTTCTTAGGGAGTTTGATCTTTTTGAGGGAGCTCTCAGCGGTTGGATTGACCTGAACTACACGACAGCCTAATGCCAGCAGGGTCCTGTGGGGGAAAACAACATAAAGTGAGTCAACGAATGAAGCTTGTGTTTAATCCACACCTTGACAGTACATGTAGAAGAGTAGAAACGGAGAGAGTTGGGAGGGTTCAAATGGAGCAGTGATGGGTTAAATTGTGCATGTCCTCCTGTTAGGAGAAAAAAAGGCCAAAGAATACCCAGAGGAATAAGCTGGGTGTGAAGAGCTTTTGACAAATTTTCTTCACACCTTGTGAGAGGACAAAGTGACAGGAAAAATGAGTTTGATGTCACTCAGGAACCCATCAGTGTCGGCCAGATGTGTCTGCCACTGCCACAGATCAAGATTAATCGCAGCAAAGCTCAACGTTCTCCTGTTTCATTTAAAGAGCGTTTATGTAAAGTACGTGTAATAAGTCTCACTGGGACCTTTATGAGGAGAACCAAGTGTTGAGCAGAGCACTGATGAGCAAGACTTGTTGTTGCTTGCTGTATTTTATTGTTTGTTTGTTGTTTCGTATGTCTTTTTTATATATGTGTAGGGAATCATTGGAGGAAATTGCAAGGAATACACTGTAAGAACCACACCGACATTTTACTGTAACAGTGGTTACATGTGTTAATGCTTACTGTCTTAACACTCCACACATTACATACTGACATAATATGTTCTATGTGAGTTGGCTAACATGTCATGGTCATGTATGTGATGCACATAAAAAAAAAACAGTTTAAAACAAACCCCCAAAAATCTATCTTTTTTTTGTTTGTAATTAATCTGTCTGTCTCTCTCTCTGACTCCATCACATGCTCTCTTTCTTCTCCTCTTCAAAAACAAAGCACCATGGAGAAATTCAATCCATAATGCTCAACATACTTCAGAGTTTCTGTTGACATCTGCAGATTGTAGTTCTTTTCAGTTTCTGGCAGCTTGGAGAAATCCACCAGGCACGGATGCTGCCGCTTATTATCATCCCTTATCTATGTGAAAAAGAACAGTCACAGAAACAATATTACAACTATCCTTTGTTGCCTGCAACTCTAGTCCACAGTAACTCTATATGTATATACACCATATAGGAAAGTTTACTAAATATATGCATATGAAACACACAGCCTTGTAAGTCGGTGTCATTGTAAACCAACAAGAAGAGGGGAATGTGGTTTAAATACAGGCTGCTACTGGTTGCAGTGATAAGACAGTCTACTCTAGTGAACATGTTATGAAAGAGGAACAAGGGAGCATGTTTTCTTGGAGGAGATAGAATGGTGTACAGCTAGAATACCGAGTAAGAGGTGTAAGGCCTCTCTTGAGGCTGTACCTTATGCCAAATAATCCCTTTGGCAATGCTGCTCAGAGGAGGCGGCATGGCAATGGCGGATGTTTACCAAGAAAACATGCAGGGCTGTGTGCAGATATGCAGCTGTGTGTGTGGGTCTAATGAACACCAGCCAGCTCTTTTGTGAATAGTACAAGAACTCTCCGGGAAATCTCTTCTCTGGCAGTTCTTCCTCTCACAGAATTACAGTTGTGGAACAAACAATAAACGAAAAAGGTATTTTTATGCAACCAGGGCTAAATAACAAACAGCACTTTGCTCGTTCCCTCAGCTGTAGGGCATCTACTGCGACTGCAGCTGTAATTAATCACAATGAACCACAGAGCACAGAATGAGCGTGTAACCACATCCAAATTACATCTAATACTGTCCCTCAACATATTTTACCACTGTTTGACACATTGTTATTGCCTCTAACCACCTGAGCTTGATTAGGAAAAACTAAACAATAAAAGTTCTTATTTCAATTTCGGACTCACACTTTACAGATATCTTCATGCTAAATGAAAGATTCTGTTGAGGTAGTGGAAAAGGATGAAGGCCTGTATAAACGCTGGCAGTATATGTAACAGAGGGAGGGCTCTGACATGTATGTTTGTATTATAGACATAAGAGCTGTGTTGCCATAATGTTGTTTGTGTCATCTGTTCCTTTAAGGGCAAAACAGGTAACTTTGGCTTTTTCCCTTAGCTAATATACAATAAACCAGAACCAGTCTTTTGCAGACAAAAAGGACAAATGATTGCAGGTATAATGAAGAAGAAGTTGGTGAAATTATGTAAAATAATCCTTTTGAGTGTTTTTCAAATGATCAGAATATACGGTAGGATTTCTACTTCTGTGTTCATTAGAACTTAATATATAAACAAACTTTCAATTAATAATTGGATATTTTGGGAAAAACACTTTCTTGTTGAGAGATCTGTCTTTTAAGTGTTAAGCACCTAAGTGGTTAGCTTAGCATTAAGGGGGGGAAATAGCTATCCCGGCTCTCTCCAAAAAAACCTACCTATTGTATCTTATTTGTTTAATCCATACTCTGTAGTTTGGCTGTATGTTTAAACTTTGAACAGAGCCAGATTAGCTTATTTCCCCTGTCTATATGGTAAGCTAAGCTAACCAAAGCTACGAGAGTGGCATTGATCTTCTATTAGAACTCTCAACAAGAAAACAAACAAGCATTTTTCCCAAAGTGCCCCTCAAACTATAACTGCATCAAAAAAGTGATCCTTGGGTTTACATGAATTGTACTTTAAAGAATCAATTAAATGTCTTTTGAAAGAGGAAAAACTAAATTTATTGCTGTACTGTGCTACCAAAACACCCTGTTCTGCCCTTTGGTGAAACAATACCTCGTAGTTCATGACTTATACTAAAACACAGACACAATGACTCTGGTACCTACAAACAAACTGGAATGAAGCATCTAATTGAATGGTATGAAAAGCATCAAACATGGAAAATGAGAGTGTTCTTTTCACTTACCCTCTTTTTTGGTGTGAACCGCAAATTATAAAAGAGAAAGCAAGATGACGTACAGGCTTTTGATGATTCAATTCTAATTCTGCCAGTAACTAATGCATTTCAAGCTCAAATCTTTTAAGAAAACGTCTAATTGTGATGTTTATTTCACCACAAACATGGAAAAATGTATGGATTATGATTTTCTCCTCTCATCCAGAGCGATGATTTCGTTATTCGTCGAGTATTATATAAGGAAAGGAAAAATCTGCATATTTCTCACCTTGCCATATGACCAGCCCAGCTCAATTTTATTCATGCCCCACAGTTCATGGATGTTCTCAGCAAGCTTGTCTCGAACCTTCTCTAAATGAGGCGGCATGACAATCTGAGGAAAATGAAAAGTTAAACAGTCAGAGGGTTACTAACATGTTCGAGGGCTGACTCAGAAAACAGCCCTCTGCTCTTTTCCAGTTTGTTTACCTGGCTAGTTTCAACAGGTGTGGGGATGAAGGAGGCCTGCGACAAGAACTGCGGGGTGCCCAGCAGATCTCGGACTCCATCCACATCCCTCTTGTACTCTTTCACCGGCTCCACCTTCATCTTCTCTTTCGGCAGCAGGGCTTCATAACACGGAGCGTAACTCGATGGAGGCAGGAACTTAAAGTCGCCATGTCGACCGCCCAACAGGAAACGCACCCTACCGAGATAAAACGTTGGTTGTCTGTTAGCTTATTCTATGATTCTACACACTAAACAACATGCAGGAGGGAAAGGTTAATTAATGGGGGGGGTCTTGTGTGTAAATATAAACTGTATATTTAATCATAAGTGATAATCAGACAGCTATTAATGAACGAAGCAGCCAGTGAAAATAAAAGCAACCATGCAGCTAAATGTAACTGCTTTTCCCTCCTCTCCAATCCGTTCCAGCCCCTGCTCTAATAGGGACAAGTTAAGCTACGAGACTGAAAAAAAAAAAAAAAAACGCATCTCAGGCCATCACTGTGAAGAGGCTCTCCTGAGGACGCCCAAAATAGCTACTCAAGTAGTAGTGGTGACGCAACCAAGCCCATTCTGACTGCGCCCCTCAATTATTGAGTAGTGACAGATGTGAGGGAACGTGAAAGATGTTTCTGGCCCGTTTAAATCCGTGGAGACGTTCGCCCTGTTCAGTGGGTCAGGTGTTAACCCACAGAGGGGTAGTAATAACGTGGCACTTTCCATATGAAATGCCGAACTCTGGAAATCATAAAAAGTAACAGATCGCTTACAATTAATGTTATGATAACATAAATAATGATTTCAGCTCCTGAGTTGTTAAAAGAAGCATCTGGCGACACCACTGGTATTGTAGGAGGAAAATGGCTGTCTACACTCTCCCCGAGCCAACAGTGGAGTCAGCAGTGACAATGACTGCAGTACAGGGGAATTACTGAACTACATTAAGAAGAAAAGAACAGAGCAGAAGTGCAGAAAAGAAGAGCAGATTGACACCTGAGCGCCATATCCCACTTCTGGACCTGTGGTTAGTGTTGTCACTAAACTAAACTCTGCTTGACGAGACCTTAGAAACGACTGTTAAGGACAAATCTATTTGCTAAATGGTAAATGGACTGCACTTATATAGCATCTCTTTAATAGTCTTTCCACAATCTCAAAGCACTTTACTCTACATGTCACATTCACCTATTGACACACATTCATACACTACAGTGTATGAACCCTAACCCTAACCCTGGGACAGTATCGGGAGCCATTTTGGGGTTCACAATCTTGCTCAAAGACACTTTGACATTGGTTGGGATCAAATCTTCTTGGATTAGCGTATGATCAGCCCTCTACCTCCTGAGCCACAGCCGCCCCTTTTCTAGAGCTTTTCTAATCTTCTAGTCTCAAATTCACTTTCAAATAGCTTACATTGACCAATAAAATCATGCTAGTGTCAACCACCCTGGTGTCAACTGTCTATGGGCTTCAAAGAGCGATAGAAGATAGTAATACAAAATGCTTCTTTGCTCCACAAAATCAGAGTCAATCATGGAATCATGGAAGAACTGCTGGAGCTTGAAATTCCATTTTAAAGTCTTGTCAATCACACTATCTGTGGTCACCATGGCAACATAGCACAGTATCAAGCCAGCCAATTTTACCTCTGTCCAATCTTAAGGCCTTAAGGATTAATGAATTTGGACCAGAATGAGGAGGTGGATTAGATGGATTTCACGCTGCCGGTGTTTGTGTGAGTGTAGGTGTGTGGTGTGTGGTGTGTACAGTATATGCATATTTATTTTAGCTTGAGCTTCACTGTCTCATCTGATCCGGTCTTCTGTGTAGCTCATTCATCATCCAGGAATTTCAGGGAGTCGGTTCGTCTCAGACAACACAAAGGGGGAAAACAAATAAACACTCACTTGACCCCTGCGGAGAAACTGACGACAGGGAAGAAGAGCCCGTCTGTGTTGAAATTTTCAAACATGCCCTGAACAGGCTGCCCGTTGATCCTGAAAGAGATGCTGGGAGCTCCCAGGTCCAGACAACAGCTCACCACATCCTCTGAGGTCAGGATGTGCTGGTTCATGGACGCGACCGCCCGAGGGATACGACCTGTTCAGGACACAAACACACACAGTTATGTGAAATATGACCCAGTGAGTGATGCTGGCACAGATCACCTCCGTCTCAGAACACACAAATTTGTACACACAAATGCACACAGTTACACATACTCTGGGCAAGGAGATCGTCCCTGCAGGGTACTGATTCTGTCTAGACACAACCTGGCTGTAGCCCAGGGTTACCGCTCATTTTTAAAACATTAGCTTATTATGGTACGAGCTGAGTTACACACACACACACACACACACACACAAACAACCCACTGACCTGACCAGAGGTGTAGTCCATCAAAACCAAATGAGTACAGGTCATCTCCAACTCCATTGCCTCCCCATCCCTCTCCTCCTCCAGGGTAAGGAGCGTAGCCTTTAGTGTTGGCCCAGCCCACCCTCAGGTGGGAAGGCTCGCTGGTCACAAAGTGGTCCACCTGGTCAATCATCAGCTCATAGTACCACTTCTTATACTGAGCTGAGCCCTCGCTCACCCCCAGGAAGATGTTCGGTCTCATGCTGGCAATGAAGTGAAACGTAAAATCATTAGTTATCTCTCAGTGGAAGTGAGATATTCTCATTTTCATTTGTAATATGTTTTTTCTTAAAATTAATGAAAAAGTCTGCCTTTAGGACAAGATAATTCCATTTGCTTCTAGTGTATTCAGGACGGTTATAAAAATGTCGATATCTTGAAACAAGGCAGAGAAAAGCAGATCACTTCACTAGTGTCATGAGCCAAAGACATTTGTGAGATTAAATTTGAGCTATCTCACCCTCAACCGAAATGCGTCTTTTCATTGTACAAAGTTGAAGCATAATAGAAGATAGTAACAGATTTAAAGGACCAGTGTCAAACTCAGCCTAGTTTTTTTAACATGAGTGTTTTAAAGTAGAGATTTTAAAATGTGTTGCACCACACAAACTAGCTCTTACACAGAAATTAGTAACCAAATATTTACAGTCAGTAACTATAATAATATAGTATAAATGTTGCATAGTTAACTGAAACACCTAACAAAGCTAATGTAGCTTGTGATGCTTCCTTTTAATACTGCTGATTGTTTTGAATGTACAAGAAGTCTTTCACAATAGTCATTATTTAAGTTTTTATCGTGCAATCCAGTTTAGTAAATCATTAATTTGAAAGTATCTAGTTCAAAGAATGTTAAGTAAGTAAGTACTTTACACATAAACTTGGATTTATGAATAGGTGGTGCAACCCTGTCCTATACACAACAGAGAAGGACTTTTATCAGTTAGTAACAAATGAGACCTTTGTACCTTAGCTTTAACCACTGCATTTTTTTTTTAAATGTAATTATGAAATGTAGATTAATAAAATGATACTGTATATCAGAGAAGCCAGATGTTGAAAGGAGGCGTGGTGCTTGGATGGCTTTCTAACCTCTGGACATCATTGACCAGCTGGGTTTGCAGCAGCAGATCTCTCTTGGGCAGCAAGTGATCACAGATTAAGTTCTGATTGGTTCGCACAGCTACGCCATTGCACACACACAGTGAGCAAAGCACATCCAGAATCTAAAAAAGAAAGTGGAGGCACCGGGGGGGAAATAAGCAACAATATCGAGAAGAAGAGAACTACAGTTCCCTAATAACTGATTACACATTGACCTCATTTGCCCTAATAAACCCTGCATATGAATGAATACCCTTCCAGAAAAGACTTATTATCTTTGTCCCTAATCACTGTCCAGGTTCCTGCTCTAGGGGCAGACTCTTCCCATGCAACCACTGCATAATTACTCAGAGATGCTTATTGGAGGCAAAAACATGTCCAATAATATCCCTTTGATGTTAGCTTAATAAAGCCGTAGAGTAAAATGGGCTGGGGACAGGCCAGAACACCCTATCCTTTATCATTGGTCCTTTTCTTCTGCTTCCAAAGCAAAATGATACATTCAGGCTGATTTATGACCCAGGCCAGCTGCCTGCCTGCTCCTGATCTCATTTCACTGTTATACTGATTGATTCATGATGGGGACACACTGCAACCAAACCCGCAGGAGCTTTCTGTCAAAATTGGAAGTATGTATGCTGGTAAAAGGTAAGCACAATGAATTAGCAGCTGAAGAGAAGAAGACATGACAAAGAGGCCCAAAGGGAACTGTTATGGAAATGAATGTGCATCCAATGAAGCAGTTTGGTGAGCCTAATGAGGAAAGAACTGGAGATGACTGGATGCAAGATAAACAGGCACTCAGTGGTTGTTGTGTGCTTTCTTGCTTGACTAAAGGTTTCATAACATCCAAGATATTTAGCATGCATCTTAAAAGCATCGCTCGACATTTTGGGAAATACACTCATTTGCTTTCTTGCCAAATGTTACATGAGAATACTGATAGCACTCTTATGTCTTTTGGTAAAAATGAAGCTGGAGCCAGCAGCTGGGTAGCTTAACATAGCATAAAGAATAGAAAAAGGGGAAAATCCACCTACCAGCACACATCTCACAAATCTCATTTGTTTAAACTGTACAAAACCCAAAGTTTATAAATGTTTGCCATGAGACTCCAGAAACTTACTGGTCTCGGCCAAGGTGTAGGTGCTGGTAGACAAAGTTTGTTACCCTAAAGTGCTAGTTGTTTCCCCTTCTTTCTAGTCTGTATGCTAAATTAAGATTATTGGCTTTGAGATGCTGTATTTACCTTACAGATGTTTTCATTTTATAGACTTCTCATCTGACTCTCAGCAAGAGAGCAAACATAGAAAGAACGCGTATTTCCCAAAATGTCAAAGTATTCCTTTAACAATATATTGCATTGTTTACCATCATTCATTATCTTTTTGTAGCTTGCAGTTTCCATCCATTATACTGTATTTTCTGTATGTGGTTTCCTTTCACCAAGACCTTTAACTGTCACCTCTAATTACCACTCAACATCCTCCTTGTACCGCAACAATGTTATACACAAGCATTTAAAACCCAGATGTGTCATTATCTCATATCACAGAAGGGATGGCACCCCAGATTAACACTACTTGCTGCTCACCTTGTGGTTGCGTCCGTGCTTGTAAAGCAGTGATATGATGGACTTGATGTGTCCTCTCTGGATGATGTTGAGGGCCTCGGGGCTCTCAATTAAAATGCAGTGCAGAACTTCCAGGATGCCTGCACAGCCGCAAATTCATCAATTAGTTAACACCCGCAGAAGAGAAAGACACACCAGAGGACACTCGTCAATGAGACATCCAGTCTGCATAGATCAACAGGGAACACTCAGGGCTGCTCGTATATTCTTTACCATACATTTCAAAAATAGCGGTTCGTATAAATGTTTTAAGTGAGCAGTGTCATCTTTCTACATCTTTTAAGCCTTGTGTCCCTGTTGAGGAGTGCTGGATTACCATTAAAGGAACCGGATAGCTTTTTGATGTCTCACTGACAGAGAAAATGCAAGTTATCACACAATGCTGTTTCACTGGAGACTTGGTATGTGTGAGAATTATAATGAGCATACCTGAAGAAGACTCAAGTCTCTCCAGCTTGCTAACCAGCCAATCCAAGTTGTTGGAAAACTGGGTGCAGTTGTTTCTGTTCCCTCTTATTAACGCCGCTGCAAGGTACAAGGAAAGGGTGCATGAGTCTAATTTTGTAGGAAAGAAGACAGTGTTTTTGTTCAAAGAGGTGTGATGGAGCCCCATACAGAACAGCAAAAACAATTTCAGCCAAAGGTGGACACCTTATATGCTCCCCCAAAGCCAAGGAACGAGAGGGGTTTTGCTTTGACACCCTTATACATATTAATTTGGAAGATGCCTAAGATAGAGGGAGGAATGACACAAGGAGAGACACATACGGACAAACACACCCACATACGTCCTAGAAAAAGAAAAGAAAAAAAAAGACAGGGTCACCCAACAAAGACAGACAGGGAAGAAAGGAGGGAGGCATCCCAAATCCACTTAGTGCTGCACCGAAGCAGGTGTGTGGAGGAGGGACCGGGGGAAGAGAGAGACGTGGTTAGAACACTAATATAAGCCAGGGGGTGAAATCAGTGTAAATAAGAGTGTGAAGGACACACTTGGAGGGCAGAGGGGCTTCAGTGTGGCAGGGTGAAAGATACACTTCACGTTTGAGCCATCCACATCCTCTTCTTAAGAATGTGACATATCCAAACAACAACAAGGAGAAAATCATGGCTGCTCACCATTTCCTGCTCACCATATTCATCTTTTTTATGTCACAACGGGCGAAGGAAATGTTCAAGCCAAACATTGTATTCATCAGATTCAGCAGAAGCCAGCAGGATTTTCAGCCACAGAGGGAGAGCAAAAATATCTATTTTTCCCTGCCAGATCATTTTAGTGAGATACGTCTATATCTGACAGAGCATATGCTCGCAGTGCAAGAGGTTAAAGTGATTTTGCAAAGGCAGGGCTGATGACATTGTGCTATATGAACAACAAAGAGCACAGCAAGAACAAGTAAACAAAACAGCATAGTGATGAGAATTGACATTCAATGGATAAAAAGCCATCTGGCCAATAGGGGACACCCAAAATTTTGAGTGTGACGACTGATCTTGTTGGGCTGATGCCCTGGAAGCACATCGCATAAACTGTAAAGCTCTTTTGTATGCAGTGGGCCATGTGCCACCAAGTCTTTTCCCAACAATATGAGTAAGAGTGTGAGTGTTGTAGATTATTTGTGGTATTTGCGGTTGGTGTGTGTCTGTGTGTACATGCTAAGCTGTCAAGTCTGGCAACATCAGAATTCAACCCTCCACTATGAGGCGTCTGTAAATGGCTGATTAAGTACCAGGTCAGCACAACCCCTCATCACCACTGAACCACCACACTCGGCAGCTACTTCATCTTCAAACAACAACTCTCGTATCTGTGATTGATTACAGTAGCCGATCGGTTTAAGTGTATGTGTTTGTACATATGTGTGTGTGTGTGTGTGTGTGCGTGTGGTAGACCAGCTTCCTACCAAGCAGCTCGTATAACAGGTTAAGGATGTCTTTCCAGGCCGCGCCAGCCTCTGACCCGGCACACTCCCCGAAGTGAGCGGCGCTGTTGTAGACGTTCAGACGGTCAATACAGTTGGACACCAGAGTCAGCATGCCCTAAGAAATGCACAGAGATCCAACACATGAAAATAAAATACATATGAAATATGCGCTTTTTACACACTGACATAAAAAAATAAGCTCTCATTAGTATGACAGCTTAAGTTGGTTAAATATCCTGAATGCAGCCCAATGGCTCTCCCCTGTCTCATTTGGTGGTTGTGTCACGGTGATTAATACTACCGAGTAGTATCTATAGCAATCAGATATGCTAAATGGAGGGCATAAAAAGACAAAATGGAAATTGCTGATGATTTATAATGCCAGCAAAAATCATGAGTCAGCTGTCTACAGTGACAAATTGACCTTCTAAATGCAATATATTAGGGGTGGGACAGGGATTTGCTATATTATTATTATATTGAAACACCCCCAAAAATGCACATATATTTGATTTAGTTCATTCACACTCATCTATGTTGGCTTGAGGATACACGTCGTTGTAACCTGTTAGAGTTAAGGGGAGTTCGGATAGTTGACATCGCAGGCCTCCTCAGTAAGGCAGCTGACATTTCATAATTGATGAAAGCAATTTAGGTCCTAGAGGCTTAGCAGAAAGCTCCAGTGCACTCGTGCCAGCCTGGGAAAAACTTATAACAGCAAAACTGCTGACGCCTTCAAATGCAATGCCTCCCAATACAAGATGGCATTGAAACACACCACAAAGAATCAATTGCGTTACCCTTTCACACACTTTGTCTTTCTGCAAGTGTGCTGCTGCTCTCGGCTCACTCATATGTGGAGTCATTTAAAACTGCCTCAATCACAAGTCAAACTCTTTACTCTAGGGGGTGTTTTAATATTTTGCTGCACTGCGGAACAGCTCATGGTGTTATTAATTAATACATCATTCCTTTATGGTGAAACTCACTTCCTGTTTGAATAGGTTCTGCCGGTTCTTGAGTGAGCGCAGCTTGATTTGCCTCTCTTCATGCTCCAGCTCAACGTCAGGGAGCTGGAAATAGGCGATGAGGTCATTGAGGGTTTGGAGCACTTCCTCAACAGGCAGCGAGACCAGGGCCCTATTCTTAACACCCAGACAATCCAGGTCTCTGAGGGGGGGGGCAAAGAGAGCACATCAAGACTCACACACAAAAAAAAAACATTCAGACACAACAGCAGTTTGTGATCATTTATAGCAATCAAAATTTTCCCATTCATCAACGACACAGTAACTGGAAGGCTGAGCAGACCTGAAGAGAGACTGTGATGACTAACACAATGTTTAGCCCACAGGTTCATCCATGCTGAAATGCTGATTTCCGCTGGCCAGCTAAAAATAGCTGCTGTCGTACGCGTGGGAGGGGTGCGGGGGAGATGTGTGTGTGTCACAGCAATGGGGGAAGCTGACAGACTCTCACATGTTCCCGCCATGAGTGCCCCGGAGCCCGACCCAGGGGACAGCGGGCCGTTTGATAACAAATAAGGGTACTGGAAGCATCCACTTACGTGCTCCACAGCCTCCTTTTTCATAGCTGGTCGTGCGTAGCCGTGACGCCACTGCAATATTTGCCTTTTGGAAACGCATGACTGGACCACTGAGCGAGCTGTCTGGGGCTTTGGCACCCCACTCAGTCAAAACTCGCAGGCCCAGAGCTTAACTCTCCACTGGGAACGTTCACAATATGGAGGGACGTTACATCACGATTGTGTGGACTGTGTGAGCGTCTGTGGGGTTTTTGAAATGTCTGGTTTTTAGGCTTCGTCAGTAATTTGTTGATGTGGTGCAGTTGGGGACTCTTTGTTTTATCATCTCTATTAATTATGCTCTACAAGCATCAGTATGTCGCTCACGCAACTTGTACCAATGACAGGACATTTTGCAAAGTACCCTAATAAAGTGTCTCAAGACAAATGTGGACTGTAATTTGGCTTAATTGGGCAATTTGTGTAATCACAACACTGCGTGCTTTAGCGAGGACTAGCAGTGTTGCTGCAATGTTTAGCATACCTGATGAATCGCTTAAAGAGCAATGTGGTGTTGCGGATGATTCGTGCAGCGCGGGACTCCTCGTGCTGACAGCGCTGCAGGGTCAACCCGTCATCCATGTGACCTTCAGAATGCAGGCACGCCTTGAGAGGGCAGGAAGAGAAAGAGTGAGACATTGCCATGAGACCATATAAGGGAAAATAGGGGAAAACGACCAAAAAAAGGAAGAGGAAGCCATTTAATGGAGCGAAAGTCTCCAGCCGTCCTCAGCCAGCACTGAGCCACAATGTCTGGAACACAGGTGCTGACACTACAGGCTATCTGGCTGTGTTTACATGGAAGACACATTGTCACGCACATTATCGCGCGCGCACCTCTATTGCTTCTGCCACAGTAGGGACAAGATTTATATTTAGTCAAGGCAGAGATCCAAACTAATAGACGATCATCTTAACTCAATCAACTCATTACACTCAAAACTATTATCCGCTCCAAGGAATCTCATTTGTTTAATAATTTTGTTTGCTTTTGTATGTGCTTTGCAACTGAAGACAGGGCAGTGTGTGCTTGTCTCCACTCACTCGTCTCTTGAGGGGACCCAGACGGGCAGATTTGACATCAGGTGCCTGGTAGGAGAGCCAGAGTCCCGTGGCAACGTGCATGATGAAGCAGAGTGAGTCCCCGTATTTAATCTCCGCTACCCCCATGCCCTCAATGTCCCGCTTGGGGCTCTGCTCCAGCTTCTCCTGCACAGGGGGGAGGAGAAAATGAACATGTCAAAGCTGTCGGTGTGAAACGCACGGGCACAATCATAAAATGTGCACATTCAGACATACTGCATGCAGATTTGTTCTTAATCAACCACCAACCAAATGTCAACCGCATCTGCTGTTTATGGCTCTATCTATCACAGTGAGATGATTGTATTTGTTTCGCTATTAGGATCAGATATAACTGCAACCCATAATCGACATGAGGACTTCGGTGATAAATGACTTCACTTGTATTCTGTAATGCATACTTTAAATCCACATTGGAATGGTCCCTAATTGGCTCACAATCACTGGCCATATCTAGAAACTCCATTACACAAAGTTAGGCTAAATGGCTGGTTTAGTCAGAGTCTGCAAGTTCAGCTAAATTAACCTCTATGGCGTAGCTTTCACTGGTCCAATAATTTCCATTGTCCTTGAAAAAATGGTGATTTTCCAGTCCAAGGGGAGTGGGCGGTTCATTTGTAAAGGTTTCGATGTGATCCTTTGTAACTCCCTTCCAGTGGCGTTTAATGAGGAAGTGTGTGTGTATGAGCCCATGTGACACAGGTCACCTTGAGGGAACAGTGGGGAATCTTGTGCCCTTGTATCCGTGTGCCTGTGTGTGTCCTAACCTTGGAGGCTCTGAAGCAGAAGGCGGTGGCGATGGTGTCGGACCTCTCTCGGTCCTGCAGCACCAACCCCCTGTCCTCAGTCAGGGCCAGGTAGTGGCCGGTGGTCAGGTGTCGCAGTCGGAAGGGCTGACCCCAGCGGATGTGGCTCCCACTCCAGCTGTCAAGGTCATACCCATGCATTAAAATGAAACACACATAGAAACATAGGGGGGGACAAAAGTTGCTTTCCATAAGCCCTGGAAGCCTCATATCCGCTAATTAGTTGATCTAAACATTGCCACCAGCGGTTAATTATCCCGTGTCATGCGGTAGAATAATTATCAAATAGCTGAAAACATTTCTCTAATTATGCACTTTGTTTCTGTTCAGGAAATTCAAAACAAAAACCGGGGTCAAAAACACAGCAGATGTGACAAATATCATGTTTGACGTAGGGAGTGAAATGGAAAAGGGAAAGGCTACATCCCTGTGAGGCAGTAAAGTAGCCGGGATCAAAGACCTTAAAAAGAAAGGGACAGAAAGGAAGAAAAACAGGGAGGGAGACCGAGGAATAAAGAGACAGAGAGGCCACAGTGCAGCATTAAATCCTAGGTAGGGAGAGGGAGGAAAGGACAAATGGGCGAGGAGAGAAAAAAAAATAGAAAGAGGAAACAGCAGATACAAAGAAACAGGTGGGATGGAAAAACAGGAGAGTGAACGAAAACGGAAAAAGGTAGTGAGAAACAGAAAGGAAATAAATAGATAACAGATAACGCAAAACTCAACCCACCTGATTCGGAGTGGCTCCAGCCTCCACAAGGACCTGGCCTTGGCGCCGGCTTTACCCGTCTCATAGTTGACTATCCTGGGGGATACCAGAAAAGCATGAGTGGGTGGCCTGTCTGCGGGATGCTTTAAATGTCTAGCCACTGCTGATGCTGTCAAGGTCATTCATCCTGGCTTAGAAGGATGCCACCTCTTTACTCTCATTTGTCACACTGATATTCACCAGGAGGATGTTCGACTCAGACACGTAAGCAGACACACACTGAAGAACGGGCTTTATTTACTCTCCAGACTACAGCATCACATCCTTCAAACAGAGACATGTGCGCCCTGATAACCCACAGCTACACTGTCTATCAGTGATATGGGTGACTGGGTCCAAAGATAAAAGAAATCGCTCATCGCCCCCCCGGTGACAGCTTTGAGTGTGTTTGATTTGCCCCAGAAAACCTCTAAGACCTCTAAAAAAGCTTGCTCCGTCTGTTGAATTTCAAGGACAGTAGGAGAAAAGCCAAAGCTGGAAATTAATAACTAATCCCGCCCCCATATTTTCTGTGCTCTAATCTAAAAATAGACATATGTGTGTATGTGTGTTTGTGGCCAGAAGGAAGACACATCTCCTGGCACCTGGCTGAGTGTGAATGGGCCTTGCCCGCTGTTTTGACCCACTTCAAGCCCAGTGTGCCATTTTTCTGCGGCCTACCTTATCTGTGTTGGCACCAAGCAGCTATACTGTAGATAAAAATAACACAGCAGCCATTTTGGCTCCCCGGAGAGCTGAGTGTCACGCTGGTCACAGGCATTTTTATGAAGCGAGCTGGGAGCTGAAGAACCGTAGGTAACTTCCAAGTCAGTTAGCTTTTTGTGTGCTACATAACTGCTTTCCCATCACTAAAGTGTGACCCCTAAAGCTGCAGTGTAATCTAGTTTGTTCAACGCTCGGTGTGTTTCGCACCTCTGCTGCTCTTCACTCTGGTCTGATCCTGGGATGGCCACCACCTCGTCGTGTCCATGGAACAGCCGCATCACATGACCACCCAACAGGTAGCCTATTGGAGGAGGAAGGGCAGAAGATTTAGATATGGTGACTACAGAAAATTAATTTCCTGTTTTGTCGCTGCTCTTGCCTCCGCTTTAAACACTTGTCGTCTCAGAGATGCAATCTGGAAAGATGGACTATCTAGCTCACACAAGTGGGTTATGAGTTTAGGGAGCCCTTTTGCATTTGGTGAGTTTTTCTAAATTCATAAAAATCCAAACAGATCTGATTATGGCAAACTTTGGTTATTTTGATATGACAAGAGATTTCCATAAAGCCTCCAACAAGCATTGATGCTGGGAATAGTCACAGCTGAAAAAAAGACTTTTATACTGGAAATAATTAGACTCTCCATGTTTAAAAGAAAAGTTAAATGAGAGCTACATTAATTTAATACAGAAACAAAAAGTGTTTTGAATGTTTGGGGGTCTTTCCTTGACTAATTAGTAGACCCCTGCACCCATCTTGAGATATATTTATTAATTCACATTCACAGACAACCCACACCTGCTCCTTTACAACTTGCAAACCTGAAAAAATACCACAGAATCATGTTGAAAAAATGTTTTAAAAAAATGTGAAGAAATTAAGGCTGGGGTTTTGTGTATGTGTCGTCTGGTCTCTACCTTCTTCTATGTTGCTACCGGAGCAGATGGGATGGACGTTCCACAGGGTTTGCATGAAGGAAGCATCCACCTGGATGTTGCCATTGGAGATGGATAAGTGCTGCAGGAAAGGACGTACAAACAGCATTTACTTATTTGTGTGAATCCACACCAGTACAGAGGGGCTGAACTGTCAAAGACTGTAGGCAGAAGACTGTAGGCAGAAGTGAAAATATATATTATATATTATTATTATGAAAAAAACACTTGACTACCAGAGACATTTTACCTGTATGGTTCTACTTTTGGTTCTACAGAATAAAAGGATTTAATACAACAAATATGTCACAATAAATATACTGAGAATAACCTGATAGCAAACAAATGTGGGTTTTATAGAAAAATAGACACTGGATTTCTGACATCTACTTAAAATCAAATCAAATGTGATGTTGACTTTTTTTAGATAGAGTTCAGCGGAAGTTTGAAACTCTCTGTAATCACTGATCAGGAAGAAAACTCCAGTTTATCACTGAGCGCTGAGGGAACCATAAAACTGACTGACAGATGCCTTGAGAGCTTGGGAATTTATACTGTCTGGGGGGCTGTACTGCTGTGCATATGTGTGTGTGTGTGTGTGTGTGTGGTTGTGTTTTCCACAGTTTCTGTGTGTACGACTCCAAAAAAACTAATTTTGTGGCAGCTGTGTACTGATCATCCGCCCTCTCCAGAGTCCCTCTGCAGCCCTTAGGTGCTGTCCCCATGTACCACTGTGTGGGCGACCACCGGGACAGACTACCAGATTGACATTGGTGACTGTAAGGCGATAGTGGTCATCTGGCCGTGCCCCTGCCGCCATAGGGGGGTAAACACCGCCTGGCTGCTGTCACTAACTTCATGGATCACAGTGGAGATGTTTCCCAGGGTTAACATAGCCCAGTGCTATCATAGCCCAGTGCTATGATGCTAAGCTTAGAGGGCAGGAAGGTCTAATAGTAAAAGAAGCCTATTGCTGAAAAGGTCAGTTCAGAAGTGCAATAGGGACATAATCATTATTAATGGCGGTGGGGATGAGGGGGTGTGACAAGGGTGATAAAGGCAGAGGCTCATTTGAAATGGCACTGGCAGCCGTCTAAAGAAATCATAATCCACCAAAGCAGACATTTCCAATTCAAATTTTGCTTAATGTAACTTAACTTGGATGACTGTCTCGCAGTCATCCAGGAGAAAAAATTTGTCGCTTTTAATGTTAAGCCCTCCTGCAGCAGAGAGGTCATGGGGAGAGTGCAGTATGTGGTATCCGGATTGTGATAATCTGAAATTTTGTCACATCAGGGGAAAGCAGAGTTGATGTTCTCTACTAAGACCTCATACATTATGCATGCAAACAAACACACACACACATATACACACACACTAGCTACAGCTTCAAGGGACAAATGGCTGACAATAAACTTACAAGGTATCGCTCTGAGGACAAGCTGACAAGGATGAGGTCATCACCAATCCGCACTTTCTCTCCTTCGGATCTCTGTTTGGAGGCAGGGTGGATCGTCCACCAACAGGCTTCACCTACAGTGATACACACACACATATGCTGTCTCCTTATTTTAATTTCAACAAACTGATATAGTGTTCTGAGAGCATGACTTTGCCACTGCCACAATGTCATCTGTAATTACTAATAATGCAATAAGGCGAGAGGAGGTAGAAATGAGAACACATGTGGATGCATAATCTTTTTAATTTGATATTGAAGTGACCTGCTGCATGGAATAAAATAAATAACAATGCCTAAGATGCATAAAATGTCCATGTATCAGGATACCACAACAAGACTATCGAATGTGCAGCAGAGATGTAATCGGCACCATGTCTACAGTTGTCCACGGGGAATATTAACTGGGATACCAAAAAAAATGAACAAATAAGGTGCAGAGAGAGATAAAGAGAGGGGGGCTTGAAGATAACAGAGAGAGAGAGAGATAGACAGAGGAAACAAATGGATGGACAAAGAGAGACGGAGCCAGCGAGAATGAAAGTGGAAAAGGAGGAGGATGAAAGCAAACTGTGCCAAATGTGTTCTTTTACCTGTTGAATCCTCCTGTAGACCGACATCAAAGGACAGCTTATCTGTCTGTGACCTTGATGTCTTCAAACAGGCCAGGTACTGTGGTGTGACATAGGACAGAGCCGTCACACACACGCACACACTCCTCTGCAGAAGACCTTGCTCACATGCTGCTTCTGTCATATTCTTGAATCGCTAATGACGTTTAAATCCCGCTAATCAGGTTTGAACTTGTTTTTCTTACGATGCTGACACTGATTGTGTGCGATCTCTTACCATAGAGCTGAAGGAATGCCGCAGGAGGATGGCGTGTCCGTACAGAAGAGTCTTGTGTCCGCCGCTCTGCGCTGCCTGCAGAGATAATTCACCAACACATGCACACATATAGGTAGTCACATATCAAGCTCGAGCTCCTGACAGAACAGCCCCAGTGGTCTCCCTCCAACTGCTTCAATCTACGCCCGACCTCTGGTACTCAACTTTGACCTCAGCGAGGACCTTCTCGCCAACTGTGATGACCTCAAGCTCGGGGCACACATCTCCTGGGGAGGTTTTGCCCCCCCATCTCGCCAATGAAGACATGCAATCTGACTTGCCACAGGAGATGGTGTTTCTGGCTCCTGTATCCTTGAACGAACAGGATACGGGGTCATCTTTCCAGCACTCCGACTACAGGAATGCGGGAAGGATGTGCAACTATTGTAAGTCTCCGATGCAACGGCAACATTAGCAGGGAGTGACTCCACCACTTATGGGGTTGGGTTAAGATGCAGGAGGGGAACAGATGAGATCTCTACTGGTAGAGATGCAGAGGGGGATAAAGAAGAGTTTTTGCTGGTTTTCTTCGGCAAGCAATTCCCATGTTACTCACCTTCCTTATGAGCCTCTAGGAAGCATTAAGGTAAGAAAGAGAGTCATTATTCAGAAAGGACTATTGTTCTCCTGAGCCTTCCTGCCTGCCTCTGCCTTATTTTAATCTTTGGTACAAATTAGTAAAGTCCTGGAGGCACATGTGATTGTCAAAAAGTCATTTTTTGAGAGGGATTAAGGAAAACATTCTTTGGCATGTTGTGTGCCACTGGCAAAAGATCCAGAAATAATTTCTGAAACAATGCCAAACAGCCAAGTTTAACCATAAAAATGTCTCATTAAACTGAAACTACAGCCACTACAGGACACTAATATGTAGTCAAGACTTAAAATCTACCAAAGCTTAAGTTTTATAATTATCTGAGAGATGCATGAGTCATGGCAGTGTCTCTTCAAAAAAATCCTACCACTCAAAGCCTCTCTTTGGTTCCATTTTGTTGTCTCTCTTTTTTCTCTTTCTCCCTCTATCCTGCTTGATTGGCTACTGGGACAATACCCAGCCTGTGATGTTGATGCAGTTGTGTCGTGCAGACTGCAGCACTGGCTTCCAGGCTTCTTCTGTGCTTCTGGCTACTGCTATATGCTGGCTGAGGTACTGAGCTTAATGCGGCGAGGCACATCCAGCTGCAATCACCACAACCAATAAACCCCAAGTCTTCCGCTCACTTCCTTATCCCCACGGCCGGGCAGTGTGTTATACAGATAGAGTAGAGCGAGGGAAATTGTTGCTCATATCAGTAAGAAAAAGAATCTTCGACATGTGGAAACACACTGCAGCTAAAATTCAATACACCTTGAGCAACTGAAATGAGTAAAACTGTATTACCCTCAGCTCAGTGAACCATACAAGAAAGAAACTATTGGATCAAAGAGGTATGAGAGAAGATTTAAGCTATGTAGTGTATCTTCTGTCCAGCTGTTGACCACAAGTGACATCAATTCAAATGCGTGACATTTAGCAGGACACAGCCTCCTGGTGTGTGAGCCCTGCAGCAGATTCTGAGAGTGTGTGTGTGACCACAGTATTGTGGTTTCTCTTAAAGGTACGAAAAGCCACAAGCTCAAAGAAAAAAGAGGTGGCAGGGATAGCAGAGGAAAAGAAAACACAAGCGCACCAGATGTTGTCATGGCAGCTCGGTTTCTTTGACATTCCATTCCATCATTTGCCCTTTTGACCAGCGACCTCCAAATCAAACAGGTCAGCGGCTTCTGGATGAGCGATGACAAATTCACGCAAAGTGATCGCTGCTGGACACCAAGCTAAATGGGGGTTGGAATCTACACTAGCTGCAAGTGTGTTGTGTTTGCAGGTCCTCTTCGGCCCCCTCTGTGTCTCACTGCCTTCCGGCTAAAACCGGCTACACTACCGATTTGCTCCAGCCACCCTCTATTGATAAGCCTATCTGTTCAAAGACGTATTGATTTCAGAGCCTCAGCCGAGACATATTCAACCTCCATTTCCCCTTTAATGGTGCTTCCTCCAGTGGCATTTTAGCGCAGGCGAAGAATGGTGAATAGGTAGACAATATTGAAAACAGATAAATGTGAGTAGAGAGAAAACACTGAAGTAACATTGTAAAAATGGCCAATCCGAGACATTTAAAAGCCTCTGGGCCATTTGCTACAAAGGCACAAAGATGTGAAAGGTTAAAGGTGAGATTTCTGAGATGAGTAAATCTTCCAGCTAGTCTTATGGAAACCTAACAATATTAAATTCCAACTGAAATCACATTAAGTCCCCTTTTGCAAAAATATTTTTTATATATCATTTTGCAATAAAAAAATTATTTATATTCTTTATTATAAAAAGGAAGAAAAATAGGTATTTGGGGATCAGAAATTTTCAAAAATCTTTCTCTCAGCCGCTGGAGGGGTGTATCTGTGTTTGATTGACAGCAGCTAGCAGGCTGAGCCCCAGCTGGGGAACAGAGACAAAGTCATCAGACTTGTGCTGCTAACAAGCCATGGACAGATCGTGTATTGTTAGCAGTGATATTGAAGTGTAAGGACCACACCAACATCTAAATGGACCGAAGTAATATTTTAAGGCAAGTTTACAGGATGTTTAATGTCCTGCAGCTGAGCCTAATCTATTTAGCTATCTAGCCAACATGTGACATTAATAATGCACAGTTCCCTATGAATGTTTATGTGGTGGCTTGTTCAACAAGGCGCAGGACAAGATGTCTGTTCATATTTGTTAGTTTGATAAGGAGACTTTAGCAAAAAATTTAATGTGGGTTGTCGTTCAAAGTCTGTGGCTCTTGTTTTGTGTAGCAGGCAGCTGTCGGGCTGTCAGTGTCACAATCTACAATATGTAACAACAATATTTAAAATAAAGTAATTTGATTGGCTGTATGGAAACAAGTATCTATGTAGAGGGAGAGCTAACTGTGTCGCACCAAAAGTATGCAAAGGTAGGGGGCACCATCATGAAAAGCAAAAAATATACATTTTTCCTTTCTTCTTTTCCCAAAGGAGAACACATTGTGATTGAGATATGTATGTCGTAGCAGACAAAAAAACATGCAATTCCAGTTGGACTTTAATAGTTATATGAAGGTGCTGATGAAAGAGAAATGAATATGGCCGTTTAAGCTTTAATTTAGCGTTGAATATTTTGAGCACCCTTTTTTCTCTGCTGTGGATCATAATTCCCTGCCAGCTAGCTCTCCGCCTCCCCGCAGCAGCAGTGGAACCAATGATCTTGACTTCTGTCCTTCTGTTGCGCAGACAGTCTACTGTTGCCACAAAGCTTTAGCTCCGAAACATCAGTTTATCTCATAAGTCAAGTCAATAATTATGAGCCTTAACAACTGAGGATTTATGGAATTTCTCACCATCATTAGCCCCGTGGCATTAAAGGTTGACGTAGCTAAAGCTGACTCAAAGTCCGCTGGGAGCTTTTTTTTTTGACTAAATCACTCATGATCATTTTCCGTCTTGTTGCAGAAATCTTGGTCTCAGCTGATTGCATCATCCAATTGCATCTCATAGTGTACAGCCAAGAGTGAGTGAGTAAAAGAAGATACTGTGACAAATTAGAGCCTTATCCTACGGTAGGGTTTGCATAAAACAAATGATACTGCAATGAACATCCATCTGAATGCCCAGAGGACAAGACTAATGTTAATCTGACGCTAATCCAGCATTGGTGCCGCTCTAGTTCTCCGGCAGTGGAAAGTGAGTTGTGTGAGAGCTGACGGTTGAAGGGAACCTCATTGGGAAGTCTATACGAAACTCTATTTGTCTCTGTCAGCTCGGTAGGAGCTCATACACAATCTTCTCACCCAGTGTACACAAAAAATCCATACAATCATTAGTTATATTAAAGTATGAGCTCTGGTGTTTGCATAAACATTTTTCGATATCTAATGTAAAGACAAATGTTCAGTGGTGACGTGTTATAGCAGACAAGCCATTCTGTGGGACGTTAATGAGGGGAGAATAAGAGAACAAACTGGGTATTGTGACTAATCTACTACGTCATGCGTCAGGGATGAGAGGAGAATGGTATGAGTGGTGAACATACCCATCGATCCGGGCCACGTGTCTATCATGCGGAAGATGGAGATTATACACGGAAAATAGAAGATAAAGATGGGAGAATTACACATCTGTCACAGCAATGAGAAAGAGAGTCAAACACACTTACAAGAAGACAACTAGAACAACATCAGGAGCAGAGATTACAGTGATGAATGAGTGTTGGTTTCAAGATCAGCCACATAGTAATGATTACACGTGCACATTACCTCCTCCAGACACTCCTCTTTACTTTTATTATATTAGAAGTTCTTGAAAAAAGATGAATCTACTGCCAGCTGCTCTGTTTGCTTTGATGATGCTTATGTTATAAAGAAAAATATGTAGCCAAATTAAGCTGTTTTCCTTCAAGGCTTGGTGTTAATCAAATGGTCAAAAGTGCATGCGGCACTTGAGGAAAAGCTGCAGTAATGTCAGGGCATCCTCATTAATATTCATTGGGGGTCGGACCTCTCTGCAGTCGGGGTCCCCTGGCCACTGTAATGAGCCTATTTTGCGCATTAATCTCTTTATAGTGACTAAACAAGCTAAGAGTATTACAACTTAACTGATTCATTATAGTACACTGTTTTACAACCCACTCTTTTGATCATCTAACAGAAAGGGACAAACAGTACATGACTCAGGGATGGCTTATGAAGAATTGAAGTATGGGTTGTCAGAGTGTTTCCTATCCGTGTGTGTGTGTGTTTGTGTGTGTGTGTGTGTGTGTGTTTACCATCACTCACCCCTTCACTGTTCTGTCCGCTCTTAGCCAGCATCTCCTGAAGGGCCCGTACTGACAGAGACTGCTCCAGCACAAAGGTGCAGATGCACAGGTCTGGAGGAACATACTGCAACAACAGAGAAGTGGGTTAACAGTTAAAACTGCTGGAAGTTCTCACAAAGGAGATTTAAAAGGGCCCCTTTAATTTACTCAAGCAGCATGAAGCATATTTCTAAAGCCTATAAAATGCAATGTCTTATCAGACTAAATCAAAAGTTGAGGTTACAGACAACCTCAGAAGACATAGAGTTGATTCCTGATGTCGGGTTTTCAAACTATGTTAATATTTTCTCCAAACAGCAACCAGTCCCCCCAAAAGTTTGGACTCACAAAGAACTTCTTTTTCAACATCTCAAACTTTTCTAACACCAAGATGGGTATCCAAGGGCATCCAAGGTCCATGGAATATGCAGTTTCTCCACTTCTGGGTAATGAAATCTCTGACACTGTTATCTCATGCTGCCCTGAGCCCACCAAGATGCAAAATTTAGATGAAAACAAGCTGCAAGGAGGCTGTGTCCTGCTTAACAATTATTTTCTTATGGAATAAAATATATATAATGGCAGATTATCAAGGCCATTTTAGTGGCACGTAGAGAAATTGTCTTGCGTGTCATTTTATAGGCCTTTATAAAACAAATATGGGCTGATAATGATCAGTGGCCACTCAATTAGAGAACCCGTAAAGAACATCCAAAATTAAATAAAAACGAAGTCTGATAAAATTATTATGAAAGTGAATCATAAACATTTCATAATGAGCTGAGTTTGAATGATTTCTTCTAGTATTTTACTAACATTTTAGTGGCACAGAGCTGACTAATGTAAGCTAGATCCACACTGTGGAGGGCTTAAAATCTTAAGATTAATTCTAAAATCAACTGGAAGCCAATGCAAAGATGCTAAAATAGGAGTTATGTGATCTCTCTGGTCTTATCCAGTTAACAGTCTGGCTGCAGCATTCTGTAATAATCAGGTAAAGAGTGCATTAATCAATTCTGGGGAAGATGAAAGCATGATAACCGAGAAGTCAGAGAATGATTTGAAAAATGATTAGATTTTTGGAACGATATACAAACTTGTTAAAAACAAGAACTGGACTAGCTCAAAGATAACTCCTGTCTGCAAGAGGCTTAACAAAGGGAGTTGGGAGGAAGTCTTAGACATCCAACATTTGATCATGTCAGTTATAAAGTTCTTCAAGGAAATCAGACTGCTGGTGGATCCTGATTTTCCAAACACATACAGTTGTGTGTCATCTGTATAACAATAAAAAGAAATTTTCAATTTGAAGGCATGTAGATTCAACACAGAAGGGGATTTCTGGGACCGATCACTAGAAGCAGTATCAACCGATACCAATTACCAGTTCTATTTGAAGCCTTCTATTTATTTATTTATTTATCATTATTTATTTATTATTTAACATTGTATATTCAGTATTTAAATTAAGACACAAGAAAGTATCATGAAATGAAAACTTTTTATATATCTTCTGACATTTTCACACCCAAGCAGTTTGATTCGGTTCAAATGGACCCTGGTGTGTTCGTCCGGTTAGTGCAGCTTGTCTGGGCTGGTGTGAAAGCTGTCAATCGAACTCTGGTTCAGACCAAACAACTGGTCTGAGACAGATGTAAAGGGTGGTCTTGCAGCGTGGTTTGTTAGTAGTGTGAAAGCAAACAAACCAATAACAGCATCTTATGTATATGTGATTTTAGCATGACTACAAAAGCTAAACTACTCATGAATCCATCTGCTGATCAAGAAATCTGTTCAGGAAGCAATCTTACATTTGATGCAAATCATTTGGTAAGACATAGAGTATTTTCCCTGATTAATAGGTCAATCACCTTTAAAACTGCTCTGTTTGTATCCTACTCTGTGTACTTTGTCAGTTCATTAAGTCCATTAAAAAGTGTGTGACAGCTTTCCCACAGTAATAAGCCCTGAATCATTACTTTACAAGACGCCTCCTTTTTGCCCTGTCTCTACCTGCTAGTTATTATTCATAACATGTGGTCAGTTTGCGGTCTATTAATAATGCTTATAATCAGCTATTTCTTAAGAACATAAATATACACAATCAGAAGCATTTAGGTGATTGATGATTTATTAATGATGCAGGGTGACAATCGCTAAAACTGTTATCTGTTTGTATAACGTTAGGTTTACTCCTCTTGGTGTGTTTGTAAAAAGCTAGTGTGGAAATGAGCATGACTAAAATGCAACAATGTATAATTTTTTCCCTTGGTCCAGACCACATCTACTGAACTAGTGCATAGAACTTTATGCTACATAAGCAAAATACCCATATAGCCAGAAAAATGAAAGCTACACCGTGAATCTACAGGGATATTCTTATTAGATGCCCACTCATAAAAGTCTGTGCTGACTGCTGCATTTTTACCGCTTCAACCAAGTTCATCTTAATGAAGTAGGCGATATTCATTAAAAGGTACTTAAGAAACAGATTAAGTGCTCTCAGGTCAGTCTGCGCTCAGATAAGCCAGGTCTTGGACAGAGCGATATTAGACAAATGAAGAAGATGCCAAATCGCATCCCAAACCAGGGCAGCACTGGACAGAACAGCAGAGGATGGAGGCAAGTCACTGACAGAATGAGGGAAGCAGGGATGAAGATACTGTGGGGCATGGCTACAAGATAAATGATACCAACCTAAACACCCTCCCTGGCCTCCTTACTGAGTATCTCAACTCCTTACAAACTGGTTCACTCACACAGGTACATCTAACCTCATTTGCAAACTTCACACAACCCAGTTTCAGGGTGAAGTAGCAATGGCTTCACATTTAAGACTTAAAATGGCACTACTGTGCACAGCGACAGCAATCTGATCATTAAAATCTAAGTCATGTTGAAGTATAGATGCTGCAGGCGGGACTGTGCAAATGCTTTAGTGAAAACAAACAGAGATGACTTGATTTATTGCAACACATGCCAGTGTGTTGGAATCTAACAATAGTGTTTCCAGATTGTCTCACTAGCCAGCTGCAGTCTATAGACACACAACACAATTACTTAATTTAGACATCAACTTGAATGATTTGTGTTATTTGGAGAGATGGTATGCATTAATTTTCATCCCAAATGTTCAGATATGCAGAGAAACGCTCCATTCTCCCATCAAGGCACTTAAAGGAATTGTTTGACATTTTGAGGAATACATCCATTTGCTTTTTTGCAGAGTTTGATGAGAAGATACCTGACACCACTCCCATATTTGTCTATTAAAGCAGCTGTAATCAATACTTTTATATGAACAATGGTTCACATGAAAGGTATTGCTCCAAGTGATGAACCCATAGAGACTTAACTGAAAAGGTGATAATACATCTGCTGCAGCTTAGTTGATTAATTTTATTAAAAACTGGTGTAAATATGAAGCTACACCGAGGTTAGCTTAGCTTAGCATAAAGGCTAGAAGCAGGGGGAAACAGCTAAGCTAAGCTAACTCATTCATTCATAATAATAGGTATAATAAGCATTCACAACTACAGTAAATAAATATACAACACTTGCACAATGTTCTCCTTCAGTCTGTATGCAATAACACATTTTCAGCATGCTGTTTGGGTTAGGGATGCCTCTGCACTAGTTGCCTTCTTCTCTAGCAGTGTCACTGTAGAGAAATCATAATAAAAGGTCTGGTGGGAAGCAATGCAGCCCCGCCCTCATCTCTCTGGGTGACTAACAGCTGACCTTTGCTCTCTCCAGGCGCAGGACTGTAACAGTTGGTGGTGAGGGGACTGTCTTGAGAGAGCAAGGAAGTGAAATGAAGGTCTTAAAGAACAGAAGAGGATGATGAGTGTCCAGCCTTGTCAGGATGTCCTCTCACAGGGCAGAGCAGGCAGACAGCTTTACAACAGCTTGGCCATGCCCTGGCGTTTGGTTTATGACCAATAGTGCAATGAGGGAAAGAGCATAGTTAGATGGTGGGCAAGGATAGATCATGTTTTTATTTCTGTCTCCGGGGAGAGGGTCAAAAAGGGTTCGAGTCGATTGCCCTGAGGAGGTGACCTCGTACTCTGCCATTCCTTTTCCGCTTAATTGGATGAGCTGCTAAAACTGTTAATTGAAGGGGTGAAGAAAGGAACAATTTTGGCCACTGCTAGTTTCTTGTTTCACAGCATTTCTGCCATTATGGTAGGTGGGCATCTACCCTCCAGTGGTCATAATATTGAGTCGCTGACAGGCAGGAGGTGCTAGGCATATATCATAATCAACTTCTCACAGGGTGATTGATGTTGCCATTTAAACTGTGCACACTTTAAATCAACCACATCCTGTCGTCCTGGTGCTGTGCCCCATTATTAGACTAGTTCACCAAAGAAAGGAGGTATCCTATTCAGTCGTCCAGGCCCCCTTCTAAATTGCCATCTTGGGTTTTTTCACCCCTCTGTCGTTGATCCCAAAGGTGGGGTGATGGCTTTTCATAAAAACGGCAGGCAATGAAGACAAAGTGCAAGACAGGGAGAACATCCATCACACCTGTCAGGTATAATTACCATCCAATATGGGATGAAAGCCTTGCCTCCCTCTGCGCACAATAACCCCCCAAAATACACACATAGTCTTTGTGAGAGCTGTTAGAGGGGATGTTGAAAGGAGAGAAGAGACTAAATGCTGGGAGTACATGGATCTTTTATGCGTTCTTCCTCTTTCAGCCTCCTCATGTTGTTGCTCTTTCTCTGAAAAGCATCTTTGTGTCTCTAACACATTTACACACTGTATATGCCTGGTGTCCAAGCTTGAGCGAAATTAATCTCAGACAATTATAATGGATTCTGATTTAAACTCAATCAATGCAGAAAAAGCCCATTAGGCCTGCTGTCAACAGGCTCTGCTATAGGAAAACACTCATGGCAGATAAGCAGCGGAGCAACAGGGTCCTAGGAAAGGTGAGAGTATCTTGAGATTGTCTCTCCAACAGCCAATCATCATTCAGATGTTTCTGCCTAATAACTTTCTGAGTAAAATGCTGAAGAAATAGGCTGAGGATGTGCTTCATAATTTTCATAATTTGTTAAACAAAAATGCATTTCGGTGGCAACCTGCTGATTACAAAGGCAAACAATTAAATTTAACGCAACCGTCGTAATTAAAACTTTGCACTTAGTCGCAAACCAGCAAATGCGTCAGCAGCTACAACCGTTCTGCTCAGCTGCAATAAAGCTGTAGGCAATTAAAGCCAACGACAGCACCGTTTATGAAACAATCCATCAAACACGTCCAGAGGCGTAATTTCATTGAATTATCATCTGACGACGGGCCCACAGAGATGCAACGTCGTCCCTGAACCATTGGAGAAAAAAGCTCATCAAGGAGCCTGCGTGGTGGAATGGAGCTGTTTGTTCCAGCTTTGATGGTGTACTTTCTGCCTTTCTGTGCGTCTTCTCCGCTCGGCTTCACTGAATCTCTGCTGGACCTAAACATGGATGAACTAAATGGATGTCTGGTTTCCATGGAGTTCTCGCCTGGGTGAACTCATCCTTTCGTCCGGTTCACTTTTCTGCAAAGTGCTTCAGCGTCTCTATATGAACATACAGTTAAATATATAACAGAGAAAACATGGCTTTTCATCAAAGAATTGAGCAGAGACATGCATCTTAATGTTCCTCAGAGCAGAGAGGACCGTGGAGTTACTGTGCCTACCTTTGCCTCAGATGTGGGCTCCAGGTAACACAGCCGATTGCCCAGCCCCTCAGCAGCCAGGCAGAACTTGCGATTCTCCTTCTGGATGCAGGCCACGCACTGAAGCACCACTTCATCATCCTGTCAAGACAAAACGGACTTCAGTTTGTGTGTCTGTACATGCGAGCGAAGATGCTGAGAGTGTGTGCGCCGTCCCCAGAGAGCCCCCCGTTCGCCCATACACATGCATGCCCACACTAGTCCATTGATTAGGGGAGACTCTTGTGCCACAGCTATATAAAGCCTTGAAAGTGTCTCCAGTCATCCACCACCACAGCGAGAGAGGAATAACATTGGTGTCAGTATTACATTTTGTGTTTCTTTAAAGAGGTCCTTTTCAAAACAAGAGAAAGAAACTGTGCAACCATCAAGTCAAGTACACCCTAAAGAGCGAATTGTAACAACTGACATATATTTCCCCTCCTTCACAAGTGATCTTTTTTTTTCTCTGCCTCTGCCCTGCTAATTGGGGGGGGGGGGTTCCCTCTAAATGTGATGATCAAACAGAGACCATCCATGGCTTATCCCTTTGAGTCGACGCAATCTCATTTAAGCTGTTTATATGGCACAAATTAGGCAATTGACTAATAAGTAGTACTGGTAAGTAAATTCATTCATTTATGTATGTATGAAAAAGAGAGGTATTTCACGGCTTTGATGCTGCATTAGTAATTACGTATGAACTTATGAGTGCATATATTTGAGCATGCATGCCTATATTTCTCATATTTCTGGATGTATCTAAGAAATGTCTGGTTGGATTTCTAGCACTTAGCTCCAGTTAGATCAAGTCCAGAATGTGACCACAGTTGTACACCTAAATGCAGTGTCACAAGGATCTAAATACAACCCTCAGAGTGAAAATCAATATCTCTTATTCGTTTTGGCTGTCATATGCAGATATTTGCATTAGGGCACTACAGTAAGTGTCTCCTGAAGCTTTTTAAACACAACATTAGCATCAGTCACGTCAGCACAAACAGCCATCGGCATAGGGATAATGAAGAACAAGGTAAGCATTTTATTAATGATTAACAACAACATTATACATAGCTATTCAGCACTGTTTATGTTAAAGATGGGCATAAAGAGGAACCATAAATAGATGTTGATGCAGATGAGCCATGTGGGTATTATTCCTGCTTTCTGTCTTTGTGAAGGTATATCAATTGCAGCAATTATATATATCAGCAAAAGGCAGGTGTAGTATAGAGCAATTCCCCCAATATGCATTCTTTTGGGAGAACAACAGCAGAAAACAAACATCTGAGGCTGCTGTTGTGTAAATGGGTTGATTGTGTTTATAGTGCTGGCCCCCGTAAACGCTGAATTGGACCGAGTTACTCTTCACGATAGCAGAGCGAGCGGAAATCTGCTGATATGGGCTGCTACGGGAGGCAGGGGGGTGGGGGATATTCTGCACAATGGCCAGCTGCATTATTTAATGTATGGGGGATTGTGCTGAGAGCAGAGTGCAGCAGTAGTAGTAGTAACAGTAAAGCACTCCATTACGGTGCAGTATGATGCAAGAGAGAGAGAGAGAGAGAGAATAAAGATGTCTAGCATCCGTCTCTGAGTGTACGTGTGTATACAGCTTCTTTTTTTTTATTTTTATTTTTTTTACATTTGTGTTGCACTGCATTACAATCAATATGCCAAGCCTCAGGGCCCTCAAACCACATGCATGACACATTTTTTTTTCTTCCAGTTGATGCTCACATTTGCCAGGGAAGTGGTTCATGGAGAGACTACACACATTGTGAGCCTATGAAAAGAAAGTATTGTGTGTGGGTGTCCTACAGAATAATAGCACAACTATTTGGTATGTGATGCGATAATAATAACTAGTGATTATTAATGTACTGATGTATTTACATTACTTTAAAACAAATGTTTGTATTAGTAGTATGAAGTTTTTTGGAAAAGGTTTTGTTTTCATTCAGACAAACCACATTTATATGTAAGCAGCGTATGAAGATCTTAACAGTAATAAAGGGGAACACAATAAACCTAGTTCTCAAGCAGCATGCAGAGAGCCAGAAGTCATGTGAGGAATGTCCAACAGACAAACTACACTGGCCAACTGTGCCAAACTACCTTTGAAATAGTTAACAGTGGATGGGGTTTGCTCAGTTGTCATAGAGTTGATTGAGTCACTATAATCGGATCGCTGAAATTACATTTGCAATGTAATAACAACTAGAAACTTAATGTAAAGATGGAAAATGCATCGCCGCTTCCTCCCACTATGCAAAAGCATGGATGTATTAAGAGAACTGGATACAGTGTTGGAGGTGACGCTCCGTTCATTCCTACAAAAAGCTGCTCAATGGCGCATGAAGCCAAACAAGCCACTTCCCGCTGTACTACACATTATGCTCAAACCACAAATTCTTTCTTTATATGCAGTTTATGGTAACAACTTAGTCACCACCATGACAACAGAGCAAATTGAGCTCATGAAGCCCAGGAAATGTGGCAGAAAGCTCTCTAACACTTCCAATACGTGGAGATGGCAAGTTGTTATATATATTATATATAATATATTATATAATAAGGTAAATAATAAAAACAATAAATATTATACTTAATATAACTATCAAAAAATAGCCAGTAATGTCATAATCTAATTTTTTTGTGTATATTCATATTGGTAAATACGGTCCATCATTACAATATACAATCTGAAATACATGTATTCTGCTTTTATGTTAGACAGCAGATATAATTGAGATAATACTGACTGCTGGAATTGATTGTGCCATTCAGGGGACTGTTATGGGAAAGACTTTGGATAATGCTAACAGTCTTGGATCAATATGAAAATGTTATTCAACTCGGATGCAGATTGAAATGAATAGCCCTCTAAGGTAAATCAACACTTGGCTGGGTTGGAACATGCAATCAGTCTCCCTGTTGAGAGAGAGACAGCATAGGGCTGATTTGGGCCCTATAAGGACAGTATCGATCCACACATTGCATTCCTGCCAAGATGCACACACACGCAGGTCAGCACACACACACACACACACACACACACACATCTCTTTAAGGCTAACTCTCATGTCTCTGTCTCCGTCTAGCCCACGACTTTTCTCTCTCGTCTCACCCCCACACTGAGGTACAATTAAGCATCTGACGTTGTCTCTCGCTCTCTCTCTCCGTCACTAACCCCTCTTACTGACTCATCCCCTATCGGACCTGACCACTACAGAGGAGGAGGAGGCGCTCACTCCTATCAATCATTTATCAAGTCAAGCACTAAGTGATGTCAGCCAGACTGGAAGGAAAGAAGCTGCTCTCCTCAGCTTGGGATTTCTATAGCAGAAATTAGAAAGGTCAAGCAAAATCAGAGTGCTGTACCGAGAGCCTAAGGATAGTTTTGCAGGTATTTGATGATTATAAGTCATCCTGTGTGAAACATGAATGTATGTTTCACATTTCATGGCAATCCATGCAATAGGTGTTGAGCCATTTCACTCTAAAACAAAAATGTCAACCTGCCGGTGGCATTAGGTAGGAAATCATTAGAATTCATCCTACAGACATCCAGTTTCAGACTGGTTGAAAAACCCTCAACGAGACTGTATTGAAGAACAGAAGCTAGTGGAACATTGGCTAGCCCAACTGTGACGTCAGGGCTTGAGCTCTGTAGACTAAAGAAAACAATTATTAATTCCCCTGTCCTTCAACAATCTGAGACGTAAATCGCCAAGGGCACCTTGAGATTGAATTTCCCTCTATCATAATATCCCTGTCTCACACTCTCACTCTTATTCCTTTGTTCTGTGTAAATCCATGCATTTGTCATCTCCACTGTGTATATGTGTGTGTGTGT